GCGCCGGGCTACCCACCAGGGGCGCCCGACGGCCCCGGACCGCCGCTAAGAGCCGCCAGCTCCGTCAGACACGTCCGCTGCCCGACAGGCCTGCCAGGCCGGCCACCAAAGCTTCGCGGCACATTCCGTCCGAAAGCGCCGCAGGAACTACTTTACGCCGTCCCCGGCGGCGGACTGGGTGCCGGCGCTCCGGCGGAGTCCCTGGCTCGGAAGAAGCGGCGCATCAAGCCGGAGAAGCGCGACGGTGCCTCGGCCGGCGACGGCGCGGCGGCCGGCGGCGGCGGCGGCGCGCCGTCTTTCCGGGGCGACTCGAGGCCGATGAGCGCGTCCGCGAGGCTGACGCTCGGCTGGAGCTCGACGTCGGCGCGCGGACTCGATTCCGACCCGGCCGAGGACCGGGACCGGAGCGAGTCGAGGCGCGTGATCCGCGACGAGATCTCGATCTCGTGCGCGAGCTTGGGCACGTGCTCGTAGGACGTGAGCCAGCGGTGGTCGCGCCAGGCGATGTGCGCGAGGCCGAATCCCGGCACGAGCGTCAGGACCACGGCGACCCACGCGAGGTAGTAGCCCGTCGTGAAGAAGTAGAGCGTCGTTCGAAAGTTGAGGAAGAACTTCGTCGTCGCCGTCGCGAGAAACGCCGCGAGGCCGAGCGTGAGGACCCCCACCGCCGCCTCGCAGCGGGGCACGACGAGGCCGCGCTGCTTCGCCGGCACGGCCAGCGACGCCAGCAGGAGCGCCGCGAAGGCGAAGCACGCGACGGCCGCGGACACCGTCGCGTAGCGCGCGAGCCAGACGACGGCGCTGCCGTCGCCCTCGCCCTCGTCGTCGCCCTCGATGCGCCGAGTCCAGAGCGTGCGCTCGACGGTGAACGTGTCGTATGTGACGGCGAGCCAGGCCGTCGACGTCGACGCGATGGCCACGGCCGACGCCGCGAGGAGCCAGACCGACGTGATCAACAGGTGGAGCACGTGGTAGCGCGCCGGGCCGTGGAGCGACCGGTGGAGCACGCGCGCGACGGCGTCCTCCGCGCGCGCCTCCGCCGCGTCTGCGATGTGGCCCGGCGCGAAGACGCGCTGGTTGAAGGCGACGTGCAGGTAGCGGCCCAGGTTCCGCCAGGTCCGCTCCTCGGGGTACGCGTGCTCGTAGAAGTGGTACACGCCGAGCGCGAACGTCGCCAGCGCGTAGGCGACGACCAGGCTCGCGACGACGATCCATGCGATGCCCACGCCGATCAGCACGCGGTTGTAGGGGAACTCCGTGTCGCCCGCGGGGGAGAAGGCCGTGTCCGAGGGCGCGTAGTGGAAGGCGCAGGCCTGGGACTCGACGCGGCCGTTCTGGAGCCAGAGCACGGCCGACGGCGCGTTGTCGCAAACGACGGCGACGTCCTCGTCGCCGTCGCCGTCGAAGTCGCCGATCTGGACCATGTCCGGCGCGGTGCACAAAGAATAACGCAACGGGATCGCGTTGTCCTCGTTCGCCACGAGGATCGACACGTTCCACGACGCCGCGCCGCCGAGGTTGTCGTAGAGCGCGACCTCGTTCGCGTCGCGGTGGTTCGCCACGATATCCACGTCGCCGTCGCCGTCGAAGTCCGCGCAGGCGACGCCGAACTGCTTCTTCTTCCCGCCGATGAACCGCTTCGCGTCGAAGGTCGCGTCGCCCCGGTTGCGGTACCAGCGCAGGCCCTCGCCGTCGACCGCGTACTTGTTCGCCTCGACGAGGTCGAGGTGGCCGTCGCCGTCCAAGTCGACGTGGCACGCGAAGCGCGAGCCGCCGCCCTTGTAGGGGTCGTCGTCGCCCTCGCCCGCGTCGAGCACGCGCTCCGTCCAGGCGTTGTCGCCGTGCTCGTTCTTGAACCAGCGGAACGCGTCCGTGTCGCTGCACGTGACGACGTCGACGCGGCCGTCCCCGTCGATGTCCCAGGGCTGCGCGAGGTGGATGCCCTCGTCGCCGGCGACGATCGTCGCGGAGCCCGTCGCGCCGTAGCCGCCGTTCTTGACCCGGCCCTTGAGCCAGATGGCCGTCGACGACGACTGGCTGCCGACGACGACGTCCTGGACGCCGTCGCCGTCGACGTCCGCGACGCGGACGCTGTGGACGCCTACGACGCGCGAGTCTCGAGGCGCGCGTCGCGATCACGTCCGACGCCGGCGCGCGCCCGACACGCCCTTCTCGGCGAGCACGACGCGGTCCCAGGAATTGCCGTTGCCCTCCTTGTTGATGAAGGCGTAGACGCGGTGGTACGCCGTCAGAATGTCGTGGCTCCACGACGTCAAAGGCGTGCCCGCGACGACGTCCAGGTCGCCGTCGCCGTCGAGGTCCGCGACGCTGACGGTCGTCGGCTTGAGCACCTCGCGGGAGATGACCTTGTGCTGGCCGATGAAGGCCGTGCCGTTGCTGCGGTACCAGGAGATGGTGTGGTCTACCTTGCCGCCGACGACGACGTCGTCGAGGCCGTCGCCGTCGATGTCGCCCACCGCGAGCGCGTTCGGCTCCTGGCGCACGTTGTACCTGCGCGTGCGCGGCTTGGCGCGGCGCAGGCCGGGGCCGGGATGCTGCAGGCGCAGCTATCGACGAAATCATGCACGGGTTGAATGGGTTGCTTGAGATGCTCTGCGCGAGCAGCAGCGTGAACGCTGCGAGAGTGGAAGCCATATTTTGCAGCTCCCGCCGCGGCCTCAACACTGCCCTTCAAGTTGGCGCGGCGAACGCTGCCGGCGCGCGCGCCTGGCGCGGCACCTCCTCGGGCGCGCATCCCTAGCTACCTTGCCCGCAAAAGCCTCGGGCGCGCAGCTCCGCCACTCTCTGCTTCACGAGGACGTGGTCGTCGTCACCTAGACCGCCGGCGTCCATTGCCTCACTATGGTGCCAGTGTACACGCGCAGGCAGGCCATGAGCAAAAAGTTTTCTGCGCGCGGCTCCAGGGACCCCGACTCATCCGCGCCTCGTAGCCGACGGGCATGCAGATTGCGCACGGCTTGTGCATGCACTTCGTCGGTTCGGTCAGCGTTCGCGGAAAGCCGATGACGCGCTTGCCAGTGCCACAGTGACTTCGCGGACCGGTGGGCCTCCGAGGCGTACGAGAACCTCAAGAACGCGGGCGGCGACGCCAAGGCCGTCGCCGACCTGAAGAAGAAGGCGGATGCGGCGCGGGAGAAGACGGACGCGGGCCGCAAGCCTGAGCCTGAGGCCGCGGCGCCGTCGGCGGACGGCGGACGAGGGAGCTTCAAACCGCTCGCGGCCGCATACTCGGGCGAATTTGCTCCTGCGCGCCCGGCGCTCGGAGAAGTCACGACGGGAGTCGAAGTTTCAGATTTCTTCGCGGACCTCAGGCTGGCGCGGCGCGGGCCAATGGCGACTCGACTCCTACGACGCGGCAGCACCTCGCACAATTCCTAGGCCGCCGACTTGCTTCGGATCGACTACCAAATCCTAATTCCTGGGCGCGGACAGCTAACTACTTCCTGTGACAAAGTCCAGCGTCAAGTCCAGCGCAGAGAGGCGAGGTTGGCAGTGAAGTGCAAATTGCCCAGCACCTCCGGCTCCGAGCTCGTGCATCAAACGCGTGCGTCGAGCGCAGCCCGACTCATGAACGACGACACCTCAGCTCGAACAAGCGCAAAGCAAGGACACAGATCGCAGCAACCAGCACGTCCCAGCACGCACACGCCGTCCTCGCATCGTTGCAAAACACCCCGCCCAACTCCTTTGCAATCGCAACAGAGACGCCGGCAAGCATGTGGTCTCAGTTCCTGAAGCTCTCGCCCGGCAAGAAGCTCGTCTACGCCACGGGCGGCTCCCTGGGCGTGGGCATCGCCACCATGCGCATCACCGAGCTCCTCGCCGGCAACTCGCAGCAGGTCGAGCTCGAGCGGCGCCAGCTCCAGGCGCGGATCCCGCGGCTCGCGGCGCAGCAGCGCGCCGCCGAGGCCGACGCGCGCGCGCAGCGCGAGCGCCTCAAGGCCATGGTCGAGGCGACGAAGACCGCGACGTTCTCGGAGAAGCTCTCGATGGCGGGCAACGCGCTCGTGTCCTTCCACCTGCCCGCGCCCGCGGCCGAGGCCATCAAGGCGCCGTCGCTGCAGGAGCGCACGACGCGTGACCTCAACGCCGTGACCACGGACTTCATCCCCAGCGTCGAGTTCGAGATCAACCGCTTCCCGACGCGGCGACGGTCCACGCCTGTCGCGTGAGCTGCGCTTTTCCGGGGCTTTCCCCCGGCCGCCGAGCCGCGGCGCCGAGCACGTTATCCTGTCTATAGTAAGATCTTCATCCATCCTCGAATCACGATGCTCGAACGACAAAAACAAGCACACTCCCATGGGTCTTTACCTTCGGCCGCGCGCGCGACCGCCGCCTACTGTCGGTCCGTGTTGAGGCCGAGGAGCATGTTGGAGCCGCCCTTGTCGCCGCCCGAGGGCAGGTAGGTGACGCCGCGGGCCCGGGACAGCGTCTCGGCGACCTCGCGGGCGGCGTCGATGCGGCGGACCTCGATGAGGCCCGAGCCGCACTGCTCGAGGGCCTTGGAGATCGTCGCGGCGGCCTCGGCCTCGCCCTCGGCGCGGATGATCGCGGCCTTCTTCTCCTGCTCGGCCTTGGCGACGACGTAGGTCTGGCGCTCGGCCTCCTGCTGGGCGACCTGCTTCTGCTCGATGGCCGACGTGAACTCCTTGCCGAAGACGAGGTGCGTGATCGACACGTCGTCGAGGATGAGGTTGAACGCCTCCGCGCGCTTCGTGAGCGTCGACCGGATCTGCTGCCTGCGTGGGAGCAAGGAGGGTCGGAAGCGAGGTCGCCGAGAGCCCCGGGGCGCGATCGACGGGGGGGGTCCGCTCGGTCGAAAGATGGTGATGAAGGTTGATCCGCACGCGCTCTTGCGGAGCGCTCAGAGTGAACTATGCATTGTCGGGAAATGGTCGTCACCGCGGACGGGGGGACTCGTCGCCGGACGCCGGGCGGACGCACGAGATCTGCTCGCGCATGCTGAGGAGCTGGTCCGCGTTGTATTGCGCCACGACGGACTTGAGGACCTCGTTGCCGAGCGACGGCAGCACGCGGTCGTCGAAGTTCGTGCCCAGGGTCATGTAGATCTTGGGCAGCGCCTCCTCGCGGGGCCGGCTCAGGACGCGCAGGTAGATGTTGACCATCTGGAGGTCCTTGGTCCCCGTGACGGACTTGATCTCCCGCGGCCGCGACCGGATGTCCATGATGATGGGCGTCTGGAGCACCGGGATCTTGAACTGCGCGCGGGGGACGGCGGTCATTTCGGGGCGCGCGCGGGGCGGGGCGGGGTTTCGGCGGGCTCACCCCCGTGCCCTCGGAAATGGGCTTGGGCAGCACGCCGCGGATGTTGTCGAACATGACGGCGCGGTGGCCGCCCTCGACGTTGTAGAGGCAGTTGCTGCCGATGAACGACACGCCGGCGACGCCCATGCCCAGGCGCGCGACGCCCGTCAGGACCTTCTCCATCGTGTGTCGCGCGGTGCTGCTGGCAGTGCTGCGACGCCGCTTCGCCGACTGCCGCTCTGCTGGCGCAGGTGCCTCCGTCGCTGGCGCAAGTGCTGGCGCCGCCGGCCGGCCGGCCCCCTTCGAGACTCGTCACGGAAGGCCTCACGGAGAGCCTACGGCGTCGGCGGGCGCCGCTCGAGGACCTGCTCGAGGCCTCGGCTCGCAGGCCTCCGGACGACCTCCGGCCCTGGACGACGCGATCTCCCACACAACGTATCGAAGAGGTCGAATAAAGAGGCGACCGGGCGCCGACCTCGCGAGCGGAGTGGGGCAAAGCAGAGGGGGGGTGCGCTCGGCGTCGCCCGGCGCCTACTGGAGCTTGACGCCGAGCTTGTCGAGGGCCCGCCTGAACTGGGGGAGCAGCTTGCGGAGGACGCGCCGGAAGCCGTCGGAGTAGGCCGGCGCGCCCTCGGCGGGCGCGCCGTCGCCGTCGCTCGCCGCGGTTTCGAGGTCCTTGGCCATCGCGTCCGCGTGCGCCTTGAAGTGCTCCACCAACACGGCGCGGAAGGGCGCGGGCGGCCGCTTCGCCGCGGAGATGGTCGCCTGGAGCGACAGTAGTTTGGCGTTCTCGTTGTAGGACCGCGCCTGCTGCTCGCCCTCGAGCGTGCCCGCGTGCTTCTCGTTGCCCGGCTCGTTGTAGTAGGGCTTGTCGACGAGCACGAGGCCCTGGAGCGACACGAGGAGCTGGAGCACGGTGGACGACTCCGGGTCCCAGCCCGGCCCCGACCACGTGCCCAGCAGCGACAGGCAGACCTTGCCGTTCTCGTACAAATTCGGGTTCAGGCGCTCCGTGATGCCCCAGGAGTGGTAGTGCATCGCCGGCGGCTCCTTCGGGTACGCGGCGGGCAGCTGCAGGTCGAAGGCGAAGACCATGCGCTCGTAGGGCGTGCCGTCGGGCCCGACGATGACGCAGCGCAGCAGGTCGGACCGCTCCTGGAACGCGCGGACGAAGACGCCCGTCGGCAGGTTCTTCTCGAGCTGCTTCCAGAGCTTGCGCACGGCAGGCAGCGCGACCTTCTGCGCCGCCGCCGACGCGTAGGCGTGGTCCGCCGGCGCGCCGCCGTCGCAGACGGCGAAGGGCTCCGCGTCGTCGTCGTCGTCGTCGTCGTCGTCGGCCGCGGCGTCGTCGCCGCCGTCGTCGTCGCCGTCGTCGGCCGCGGCCTCGGCCGCGGGCGCCGCGGCCTCGGCCTCGTCGTCGGGCTCGACGGGCCCCTGCGTCGACACGCTCTCCGCCGTGCCGTCGTCGTCCTGGTCGTCGGCGTCCTCGTCGTCGTAGGCCGGGTCGTCCGCGCGCGCGTCCGGCACGAGGAGCAGGCGCCGCGGCGGCACGAGCTCGCGGGACCCGTCGAGCCAGAGCACGGCGACGGCGCCGTCGGCGAGGCTCAACACCTGGCCGACCCAGCGGTCGTCGCCCTCGGCCGCGGGCCGCGGCTCCTCGGTCTCTCCGTCGCCCGGGGCCGCGTCGAGGAGCGAGAGGCGGATGGCCTCCGCGAGCTCCGACGCCTCCTGCTCCGACTCGACGTCGTCGGGTAAGGCGACGATGGCGATGGCGCCCGCGGCGTCGCGCGTCGCGCCCGCGGCGCCGTCGCCGTCGCCCGCGACGTCGCCCGCGCGGCCCGCGCCCGGCGCGAGGCGCAATACCAGGTCGCCCGCGGAGAAGTTGTAGGACCCGTGGAGCGCGAGCTCGTAGGCCGACAGCGTCTCCGTCTTCGCCGGCGCTAACGGCTCGAGGGCGTCGGCCTCGCCGTCGCCGAGCCAGCGCACGACGCACCTGGGCAGCAAAAGGGTGCGAAATTCCCAACTTCAAAGGCTCCTAGCTCGGCCGATTTCCACTCGTTTCGGCTGATTTTTGGACGAGCGATCATCTCTCGGAGCGCTCTCGAAGCGTGGGTGCTTTTTCCAGAACGCGCGCGCGCGGAACACTCACGTTGAAGCGAACTTGAATCACCCTTGTCCTGCCCTGCGACGCACGTCCGCTGCCGCGCGTCGACGGACCGGACGACGCCGACCGCGCCGTCGTCCTCCGCGGGCGGCTCGTCGTCGTCGTCGTCGCTCTTCTCGTCGACGCGCTTGATCACGAAGTCGTTGGGCAGGAAGTCGTGCTCGCCGAGGTGCTGGCGCGGCACGAGGTCCAGCGACGACACGACGGCGACGGCGTCGCCGCCGCCGACGCCCGCGGCGGCCGCGGCGCCGTCGGCCGCGGCCACGGACCAGCGCACGGCGCAGCGCGTCTCCGTGCGCACGACCTGGGCGCAGGCGCCCCGCGGCAGGGGCGCCTTGTCGTCCGCGGGCGGCGGCGGCGGCGGCGCGTCCGCGGCCGCGGCCGCCGCGGCGGGCGCCGGCGCGGGCGCCGCCGCCGCCGCGGCGTCGTCGGCCGGCGCGGCGCCGCGGACGTGGTCGCCGACGCGCGTCAGCCCCGCGAAGGGCGCGAGCACGGCGACGTCCTTGGCGTCGGACCACGTCGGCGGCGGCTCGCGGCTCGCGCCGACGCCCCACGCGAGCCATTGGACGCCCGCCTGCGCGACGTCGACCTTCTCCACCAGCCCGTGGCGCCGCCGCCGGCCCGGCGGCGCGCGGCCCGTGCGCCAGGACGCGCGGCGCCAGACGGACGGCGGCGCGGACACGCGCTGTCCCGGGAAGAAGGGGCAGAGCTCGTCGAAGCCGTAGTCGACGTCGTCGAGCGGCTCGAGCGTCGCGGTCGCCTCCGCGCCGTTGTCGCCGAGCCCCGAGACGACGCAGACGTTGCCCGCGGGGGACCGTACCGTGACGTCGTAGGTCGCGCCGACGACGCGCCCGACCCAGCGGCCCCGGAGCCGGTGGACGACGGGGTCGCCCATGCGCAGGCCCGTCGCCGGCGCGAGCGCCGCCGCGTCCAGGCCCCGGACCGTCGCGCCGGCGCCGAGGGGCGCGGGCGCCGGCGGCGGCGCCGCGGGGCCGCCGGCCCCGCCGTCGCGCTTCGGCCCGCCGGCGCCCCGCGCGTTCGCGCGGCCCGCGGCCGCCGCGCCCGCGGCCGCCGCGACGGACGCCGCGACGGACGCGGCCTGTTTGTCGCCGGACTCCGCGCCGCGCGAGCCCCGGTTGCGGCCGCCCCGCGCCTTCTTCGGGTTCGGGGCCGGCGCCGGCGCCGCCGGCGCGCCGGCCCGGGGCTTCTCCGGCGGCGGCGCGGCCGCGTGGACGAGGCGCACGTCCGCTTTCAATTCGACGCGCACGACCGCGCCGAGCGCGCCCGTCGGGTCGTCGCGCGCGGCGACGACGTCCCCGACCACGAAGGGCCGGTCGACGCACCGCAGGGCGTCCATGGCCTCGAGGGACGGCTCGTACTTGTCGAGCCACTGCACGCGCGCCATGCCCTCGGGCACCTCGCGGCGCCGCTCGTCGTCGGCGTCGTCCTCGTAGTAGTCGTCGTCGTCGCCGCCGAGGACGCCCGACGCCTTGAGCACCCAGCCGAGCTGGCTCGGCTTCCGCGCGAGGGCCACGCAGTCCTCGGGGAAGAGGCTCGGCGCGATCTCCGCCGGCGGGCCCGGGCTCCCGGGCGCGGCGCCCGCGCCCGCGCGGCGGCCGTCGCCGGCCGAGTTCTTCTCCGTGAGCTTGTTCGCGCGCATGACCTTCTGGACGCGCCGCTCCGTGAGCCGCCACTCGGGCTTCGACGCCGCGACGTGGTTGTAGACGCGCTTGACGCCAAAGTCGGGGTGCGCCGCCTTGGCCGCCCGGCAGGCCTCGAGCAGCTCGGCCTCCGAGGGCGCCTTGGGCTTGGGCATGGCGTCGACGGGCACCAGCGCGCCCCCGGGGCCGGCGCGGGCGCTCGGGAGGGGCGCCTCCTCGCGGCGAAGCCTCTCGATGAGCCGCTCTCCAGGTGGACCAGCCCTCGTCGACGAGGTCTCGCTCGACGAGATGCGAGGCCTGCGTTGTAGCCTCATTGACGTTGGCGGTGCGGCGCAAGTGCGGCGCTGCGCGGCGCCCTCGTCGACAGGTCTCGCTCGCCTGTGTGGATGAGAGGTCTGCGATGCTTACCTCGGCGGCGCCCCAACGCCCGCCGGCGACGCGCCGCGCGAGGCCGGCGACGCGGACGCCAGGGAGCCCGGCGAGGGCGTGTCCGCGCTGCCGAGCGAGGCGCGCTGCTTCTCGAGGGCCGACGCGAGCGCCGCCGCGAAGGCCGTCGTGAGCTTGCCGTCGTCGAGCGTCGCGTCGACGCGCTCCAGCGCCTTGCAGAGGTCGTCGAGCGCCGCGGCGGCCTCGCGGCGGCGGTCCCCGGCGTGGCGGACGGCGTGGCGCGCGGCGGCGGCGATGGCCGGCGCGACGACGGAGCGGAACGCGCGGCTCTTCTCGCGCCGCGCGGGCGGCGACGGCGTCGCCGGCGGCGGCGCGTCGAGGCCGAGGGGCGGCGCGGGCGGCGCGGGCGGCGTCGGCGCGCGGCTCGGCGACTCGGGCACGGCGGGCAGCTCCGGCGCCCGCCGGGCCGCCGCGGCGACGTGGGCCGCGAGCGCGGGCTTCGCGACGCCGACGTAGTCCGCCGCCGCGACCCACGCGTCGACCAGCAGATCCGCGCACGTCGGCCGCTCCTCGGGCGCCTTGGCCAGGCACCGGGCCACGAAGGCCGTGGCCTCGGCGCTAAAGTCTCCCTCGAGCTTCGGCGGCGGCGCCTTGGGGACCACAAACAACACCTTCATGGGGTGCAATTCCCAGTGCGGCGGCTTGCCCGTCGCGAGCTCGAACGCGGTGATGCCCAAACTCCAGACGTCGGCGGCGGAACCGTAGCGGCTCTGCTCCAGGACCTCCGGGGCCATCCAGTAGGGCGTGCCGATGAGCGACTGGCGCTTGGTGGACGTGTCCGTGAGCCGCGTCGCGACGCCGAAATCCGCGAGTTTCACGCGGCCGTCGCGCGCCACCAAGACGTTCTTCGCCTTGACGTCGCGGTGCACGCGCCGGTCCCCGTGCAGGTAGGCGAGCGCCTCGAGCAGCTCGGCTACGACGCCCGCGACGACGGGCTCCGCGAGCGGCGCGGCGAGCGAGTTCAGCAAATCGCCGAGCGACCCGCCGGCCAAATACTCCGTGACGATCCAGAGCTGGGACCCGACGACGTGCGCGCCGAGGTAGTGCACGAGGCGTGTGCAGCGCACGCTCGCCAGCGCCTCGAGCTCGCGCCGCACGTCCTCGAGCTCCGCCGCCGAGCCCTCGAGGTCCACGACCTTGATGGCCACGTGCTCCGACGAGCCCTTGACGCGCGCCTTGTAGACGATGCCGAAGGAGCCCACGCCGACGCGCTCCTCGAGCGCGTAGTGCGCCGGAGACGAAGTCCCCTCCGCGGCGACGACGACCGCGGCGACGGCGTCCTTCGCCGCCGTCATCGAGGAGGACATGACAAGCAGGCCGGTTTAGAATTTTACCAAAGTGCGCTGAAGCGCTCATCCGCCTCAATGTAAACTTCACCATAGCGCGGCCTTAGAAATCGTCGCTGTCGTCGTCGGCGTAGGCCAGCAGGCCCGCGACGTCGAGCCCCGCCGCCACGGGCACGCGCGTCGCCCGGTGCGCGTGGTCCGGCGGCGCGGAGTCCGGCGGCGCGGGCACGTCCCCGTCCGAGCTCTCGTCGTCGGACCCGTCGGGCGTGCCGAGGGAGTCGCTCTCGTCGTCCTTCCGACCGGCGTCGTCGTCGTCGTCGTTGAAGCGGCCCGCGCCGCCGACGTCCCTCGCGCGCGCCTCGATCATGTCGCGCCACGACGGCAGGAACGTCTCGATCTTGTGGAGCTCCGCGAAGAGCCACTGCGTCTCGGCGCTGACGTTGAGCACGGACGCCGCCGACGACGCGTTCTGGTCCAGGGACGCGGCGACGGCGTTGTTGTAGCGCTCCTCGATGGGCGTCTGCTCGGACACGAGGCAGAGGCGGCGGACGAGCGAGAGCATCTGCGCGAGGCTCTTGCCCTTGCGCTCCACGGTCGCCGCGCACTCCTTGGCCTTGGTCCGCGTCTCGCGGATGGCCCGCTCGGTCTCCTTGAGGCGGCCCTCGAAGTCGCGGCGCTCGCGCGCCATCTTCAGCAGGTCGCTCTCCATCTCGCGCGTGTTGTTCGCGTGGTGCCGCCGCCGCTCGTCCCTCTCCAGGGGCGTCGTCATGTAGATGTCGTCGTGGACCGGTTTGCGGCTCGCGGGCACGAAGGGCTTGGCGCCGGCGGGCGCGCCGGACGCGCGGAGCTTGGGCGGGCTGCCCGTCGGCGCGAGCGCCGTCTCGCCGACGTCCTTCGGCGCGCTCGGCGGCGCCTTGCCGGACGCGAGCAGCACGGCGGGCCTCTCGTCCTTCTTGGGGGGCGGCGCGGCCTTGATGGCCCGCTCCCGCGCGCTCTCGAGCATGGCGTGCGCGACGACCTCGCTCGGCGTCTCGCTCAGCGCGAAGTTCGAGAAGTGCTGCGTGTGGCTGAACATCGTGCGCCGCTTCGTCGGCACGACGAAGGGCCGGTCCTCCTCGGCGGCGATGCTCCGCACGGACCGCGGGTCCACGAAGGGCTTCTTCGGCTTCGGGAGCAGGTCCGTGATGGCCGCGCCGGCCTCGCGCGTGGGGATGGCCGTGTCGGCGCTCATGATCTTCGAGAAGGCGCCCTTCTCCGGCACCTTCTCCGCGGCCCAGAACTTCCGCGTCGCGCTCTCGAAGTGGGTCATCGTGATCGTTCGGTGCTGCCCGCGAGGGCTGCGTCTCACGCGCGCACGGCCATACGCTGCCCCGCGCAACAATTAGCAACAGGTTCAACGTAGCCGGATTTGCCATAAATGTAACTCCATCGCCTCGAGCGTCTCACTTCCGTACACGCCCGCAATGGAACGGCCTTGAGTTCGCGTTCGCGTGGGCAGAAAAAGAAAGAAGAGGCAAAAAAAGCCCGCGCCGGCATGGCGGACGGCGAACAGTCGCACACGCTCATCGAGCGGGCCTCCGCGGCCGTGAACAAGAAGATCGAGGAGGGCTGCGGCAGCGTGGCCCGCGTCGTGACGAAGCACCCGCGGAAGACCATCGCTGCCCAGTACGCGCTCACCGTGGTGTGCGTCATGGGCTTCGCGAACATGCGGTACGACAACCTGCCGGAGCGGCTCTACGTGCCGCAGGACACGCAGGCCTTCGACGACCGCGACTGGGTCGAGGCGCGCTACGGCTTCACCCCGACGTCGTCCTTCGCGTACATCGACGGCAAGGGCAATCTCTTCGACCGCGCGGCCCTGCGCGACCTCTTCGACCTGCACGACCGCATCATGTCCCTGAACCACGAGGACGGCAAGATCGCCTACGACGAGCGCTACTGCCACCTCAAGGGCGGCGTCTGCCAGCGGAACGGCGTCCTGGCCTTTTGGGACTGGAACCGCACGAAGTTCGAGCTCGACGACGACCTGATCGCGACGCTCAACGACCCCTACGTCCCGAACGTCCACAACGCGAACGAGCCCTTCGTCGTGCTGCGCAACTCGGCCGCGGACTACTCGTACGGCGGCGACGGCGCGACGGTCGCGGGCTCGGGCAAGATGATGCTGTCCTACGAGCTCGGCGTCCACCTCCACGACAAGCCGCGCCTGGACCCCCACGCGGAGCAGCTCGAGATCGACTTCGTCGACGCCGTCGAGGGCTGGAAGAGCGACTACTTCGACGCGTGGCCGGACAATCGCGCGCTGCGAGATCTGAACTCGGACGCGGCGATCTCGTCGGACCAGATCGTCATCAACCTGTGCCTGCTGTTCGTCTTCGCCTACACGTGCTCGACGATGGCGAACCGGCGGGACCACGCGAAGTCGCACGCGTTCCTGGGGTCCATGGCCGTGTGGACGACCCTGATGGCGATTTTGGCGGGCTACGGCGTCGTCGTCGCGTTCGGCGTCGTCTTCAACCCGTCGACGATGATCGCCATCTTTCTGGTGCTGGGCATCGGCATCGACGACGCCTTCGTGATCTACGGCGCCTACGACCACGTCGACCGGTCGCGGCACGCGTCCGTCGAGGCCGCGGTCATCCGGGCCGTCGAGGTTGCGGGCTCGTCCATCACCGTGACGTCCGTGACGGACTTCTGCGCCTTCATCGCGGGCTCCTTCATCACGATCCCGGCGCTCTCGAGCTTCTGCATCTTCTCCGCGGTCGCGGTGATGATGGACTTCTTCTTCCAGATCACCGCGTTCGTCGCGTGGATGACGCTGGACCTCAAGAAGGCCGAGGAGCGCGGGGGCAAGGACTGCTGCTGCGCGTGCTGCTGCTGCTGCCCCGGCGCCAAGGTCGCGGCCGTCGCGCCCGCGGCCAAGGCCGCGGACGACGACAAGGCCGTCGAGGCCGTCGGAGGGCCCGCGGCGCCGGACGGCGCGGCCCCGGGCGCGGCGGCCGGCCCGGCCAACTTCTGGGGCACGACCTACGCGGACGTGATCCTGTCGAAGCCGGGCAAGGCTGGTGTGTTGCTGACGGCCGCGGCGCTCGTCGTCCTGGGCACTGTGGGCTGCACGCGGTTCACGATGGACTTCGACGTCGAGTGGTTCCTCACGAGGAGCGGCGAGTACGGCTTCGTCTTCGAGGCCCTCGAGATCCGCGACGACTACTTCTCGCACCGCACGCTGCTCCCCGTGAGGGTGTTCACGAAGGAGCCGAGCGTGGGGTACTTCGAGCAGAAGGACGAACTGGCGAGCCTCATCGACGGCCTCTACGACGAGGGCGGCAACTCCAAGGCCTACATGCCCTACAACTGGTTCACGCAGCACGAGCTCTACGACGCCTGCGCGCCGCCCTACGACGTCTTCTGCCCCTACGGCGGCGGCCCGTCGAACGCGAGCGACGCCTGGTACGCGTCGCTCCGCGCGTTCCTCGATGGGCCCGGCGCGGCCTACGAGGACGACGTCCTCTTCGCCGACGACGGCCGCATCACGTCGTCGGCGATCCCCATCTACTGGAAGTTCGTCGACGACGAGACGACGGCGTCCGCGGGCGTGCGGCGCATGGTCGACCAGCGGGAGCTGGCGGACGACCGCGCGCCGGGCTTCGACCCCATCGTCTTCATGGAGCTCTTCGTCTTCTTCGAGGGGCTCTACGTCGTCGTCGTCGAGACGGTGACGAGCTTGCTCTTCGCCGCCGCGGCGGTGTTCGTCGTGCTGGTGCTCATGCTCGCGAACTTCCAGCTCGCGTTCCTGATCCTGAGCGTCTGCGGCGCGATCTCCGTGTGCCTGCTGGGGTCCATCTACTGGTACGGCGACAACCTGAACAACGTCGCGGCCGGCGTCCCGCGGCGGCGACGATGTTCGAGAGATTTTGACCGGGAAAACGATAAAAAATCGCCACGATCGGTAGGTCACGGCGTTCTTCATCATCATCGCCGTCGGGCTGAGCGTCGACTGCAGCGCGCACATCGCGCACACGTTCGCGCACGCCCGCGGCGCGACGCGCGACGACCGCGCGCGCGAGGCGCTCCGCCAGATGGGCGACAGCGTCTTCAAGGGCGGCATCTCGACGTTCTTCGGGATCTGCATCACGGGCTTCGCCAAGTCCTACATCTTCTGGTGTTTTTTCAAGTTCCTCGCGTCCATCATCGCCTACGCCCAGTTCTTCGGCATGGTCGTCATGCCCGTGATGCTCTCGCTCGTCGGGCCCATGGCGCCCCACGCGACGGCGCCCGTGGCTCCCGCCTAACGCGACGTTAGGAGGTAGTGGGGGTTGCGCCGCGCCATCCGCAGCGCGGACCTCCGGACGTCGCGCGCGGCCTCGTGGCCCTGGCGCGCGGCGCGTTCCAGGTAGTCGAGCGCCGCGTCGAGGTCGAGCGTGACGACGTCCGGGTCCTCGACGGTGCGCGGCGGATCCTCGCCGTGGAGGTAGCAGCGCCCGAGCTTGTACTGCGCCTCCGCGTGGCCCCGCTCCGCGAGATCGACGAAGAGCGAGAGCCCGATTTTCGCCGGGCCGAGGGCGTCGCGCTCGCCGAAGAGGAGGGCGCCCGCGAGCGCGAGCACGGCGTCAGGGTGGCCGCGCCGCGCCGCGAGCCGGTACCAGGGCGCCGCCGCCGCTTCCGACGGCGCGCCGAGGCCGCCCCGCCCGTCGGCGTACATGTGGCCCAGCAGCGTCAGCCCGTCGCCGTCGCCGGCCTCCGCCGCCAGGCGGCACCAGCGCTCGGCGCGGACCTCGTCGACCGCGACGCCGTGCGTGCCGTTGTCGAAGACCTTCGCGAGATCCGCCTGCGCGAGGCGGTTGCCGGCGCCGCCGTCCGACGGCGTCGCCGCCCGCTCGAGGAGCGCCAGCCCCGCGGCGACGTCGCGCGCGACGGAGAAGGTGCCGTCCCTCGTCTTGATGCCGAGCGCCCGCATCGCGAGGCGATCACCGCGGTCGACGCCGCGCCGCAGCCGCGAGAGGAGCTCCTCGTCGGTCTTACGGTTCGGCGCGCGGCAGAAGGGGCAGCAGTCCTGGGACCGCAGCTCCGGCGACGCGCCGATCTTGCGCCAGCAGCTCGCGCACGACTCCTTCCCGCAGCACGCGTGGTAGACTATTTGCGCGACGTCCCGGGGCATCGGGTCCGCGCACAGCGGGCAGCACGGCTCGGAGGCGACGGCGCGCGCGGCAGCGCAGAGCGACTTGTGCGTTGCGTGGTGCCGTAGCTGGCAGTCGCGCGCGCAGTAGCGCGCCGTCTTGCACGCCGCGCAGCGCAGCTTCGCGTCCGCTGCGCCGCAATGGGCGCAGGCGGTCCACCAGCTCTGGAGCCATTGCTGGCTGGCCTTGCTCGCGTCGGACGCGGACTGGAGCCAGGGCTTGCCGGCGTCGTACGATGACGCGGAGCTCATGCTAGATGCGGACATACTTTCTTGCAGAATGTTGGCGAGCATTGCTGGGCAATTTTAGCTCTCATCGAGCCCAGCCCGCGCGCGCCGTCGCGACACCCGCGCGACACGGGCCGCGCCGCGCCGCGCCGTCGCACGATGGCGGACTGGGAGAAGGTCGAGTCGCCCGGCGCGTCCGCCGAGGGCTGCAAGGCGAGCAGCGGCAACCTGAAGAACGCCTGCGACTACAGCTTCGCGGACCTGTACCGCGCGGCCTGCGCGACGACGAGCTGCCCCTGCGACGAGGTCGAGGTCAAGGCGGCCTGCGAGTCGCTCTACGAGCTGAAGCGCGACGACCTGAACAAGATGGTCCACGAGTGGGCCATGACGGCGGACTGGGAGACGGAGATGCAGATGGGCTCCGACGGCCAGGAGTACCTCGCGTTCGCGCCCAAGTCCGCCGCGGACAAGCGGCGCGACGAGGCGCTGTACGGGAAGTACCGCGACGCCCTCGAGGAGAAGGACAACTGAGATGCGACGCCGAGCCGCGCGGCGAAACGCCGCGCGAGACCCGCACATCGGTTCATCACAAGAATTTTTTTACTAGCACGCGGGCGCGGCGCCGGTCCAGTTGCCCGGGAAGAAGTAGACCTCCTGGAAGGCCGGGTAGGCGGCGTCGCTCTTCGCGCAGCGGTAGGCGAGGAACGCGTCGCGGCCCGGGAACGTTTGGGTAGAACGTCGCGCGACGTCGACGAAGGTCGCCGCGAGCGCGGCCGTCGCGGCGACGGCGTCGGCGCCGTGGTTGATGGCCTCGAAGGGCAGGCCGTCCCGCTCGCCGTGCTCGAAGGCGTTCTTCTCCGGGTGCCACTGGACCGCGAAGAGGTGGCCGGCCTTGGATTCGGCGCTCGAGACGAACGGCTCGCCGCCGCCGTCGACGTTCGTGCTCAGCACGTCGAAGGTGGCGGAGAGCGCCGCGGAATCTCGAAAGGCGCCGGGCGTCACGCCCATGTGGTGGTTGTTGAGCGCGAGGGCCTCGGACGCGAGCGACGCGCGGAGCGCCTCCTTCGCGGCGCCGCCGTACATCGTCGACGTCGCGGCCGCGGGCGTCAGGGCCAGCGGGAGCGACACGTTCGACGCGTTGAAGCCCGGCGTGACGACGCCCGGGCCGCCGACGATCTCCATGAGCCACTCGAAGCCCAGGCACGTGCCCCAGACCGGGAAGACCTCGCCGCGCCGCGCGGCGGCCTCGGAGTACGCGACGGCCGCGCGCGCGGCGTCGGGCAGCGCGCTGGCGCCGCCGGGGAAGAGCACGCCGTTGAGCTGGCCGTAGAGCTCCAACGACGTGGCGTTGTCCATGGCGTAGCTCAGCGGCACGGCGCGCCCGCCCGCCATCTCCACGAACTTGACGTAGCTCGCCGCGAGGTACTGCTGCCCGGGCGCGAGCGCCGGCTGGGCCATGACGCCGATGACCGGCGAGTCGATGGAGGTAGCGCGGTGGAGTACTGCGATGCACACGAGCGACGAAAGCCGCCCACGCATGCCGGGGGCCATGTTTTGCCACTAAATTTACTTCACCGTCGCTTCGCTGAAGCTCTATGACTTCATGACATTGTGAAGTCGGATCGACAGCTTGAAGGACTCTGAGCCGTAGACGATGGTGCTGAAACTCGCACTTTTGCTCCTCCTCCCGGCGGCCTCGGCCTTGCAGGGCCCGTCGCTGGTGCACCGCCGCCGACACGCGCTCAAGGAGCTGCGCATGACCGCCGGCGACGACGTGCCGACGGCGCCGTCGCGGTCGGCGCTGCTGCGCGGCGCCGGCGCCGCCGCGGCGCTCGCGGCGTTCCCGCGCGCGTCCGTCGCCGGCGGCGGCAACGTCGCGACGCTCGAGACGGACCTCGGCAACATCGTCATCGAGCTCAAGCCCGACTGGGCGCCCCTCGGCGTCGAGCGCTTCAAGGAGCTCATCACCGTCGGCTTCTACGACGACGCGCGGTTCTTCCGCGTCGTGCCCAAGTTCATCGTCCAGTTCGGCCTGAGCGGCGACCCGGCCCTGAACAAGAAGTACAAGGCGGCGAACCTCCAGGACGACCCCGTCGCCGTGTCGAACACGCGCGGCACGCTCGTCTTCGCGACGGCCGGCCGGAACACGCGGACGAGCCAGATGTTCATCAACTTCGGCAACAACGGCTTCCTCGACAAGCAGGGCTTCTCGCCCATCGGCGTCGTCACCGAGGGCCTCGACATCGCCGAGAAGCTCAACGCGGAGTACGGCGAGTCGCCGAACCAGGGCAAGATCACGACGCAGGGCAACGAGTACCTCAAGGCCAACTTCCCGCGCCTCTCCTACATCAAGAAGGCGTCCCTGTCCTAGGCGACTACGCGGCCTCTAAGCACCCTTAGCATTCGCCGCACGCGACGGGGCACGAAGGAAGGCGTCCCTGTCCTAGGCGAATACGCGGCTTCTTCGCCTAAGCACCCTTAGCATTCGCCGCACGCGACGGGGCACGCGTCGGCGCTCGCCACGTCGTGCTCGTCCGCGTCGCCGGTACCGCCGTCGGCGCGGCTGCCGGCGTCGCCGTCGGCCTGAGCGAGGAACTACGCGTGGAAAAGGAGCGGCAAAAGGGCGAGTAAATAAAAAGGCTCGAACCTCGGCGCCGCGGCGGACTCCGAGTCGCCGACGTCGAAGGCCGTCGCGTCGACGTCGCCGGACGCCGCCTCCCAGTTGCCGCCGGCCGCGAGCCACTCCCGCAATTCTGCCGCAGCGCCGTAGCGCGACCCCGCGTAGTCGTAGTCGCCGGCGGACAGCGCGAGCGCCGTCTCGCCGTCGACGAGCTCCGACGGTAGCGCGGACGTGCCGCTCGACGTCGCGGCGTCGTCCCAGGCGCCGTTGATGCTCAGCGCGGTCACGAAGGAGCCGGCGGCGTTGTAGACGATTAGTTGGTCGCCACCCGACGCGAGGTTGAACGAGCCCTCGCGCGCCTCGAAGTCCGCCTCCGTGAGCACGGTCCCCGCGACGGCTTCGGCGCGCGTGCACGCGAGGACGCCCTCGGAGTCCCGGAATCCGTCGCCCTCGCTCCAGCCGTTGTCGGTAACGCGCAGGTGCTCCAGCCCCGTCGCGTCTTCGAGCAGGACGATCGCGAAGGCGTCCGGGTTCGTGCGCACGCCGGCGACCATCGCGCCCCCGGCTGAGAGCGACGACGCGCCGGACTCGTCGTCCGTCTCCTCGACGCAGACGGAGTCGCAGACGGCCGCCCGCGCCGCGGTCTCGTCCGCGTCGTCGAAGAGCCGGGCGACGAGCTCCGGGTAGTCGACGAACGGATTGCGATTGAGCTGGTACGACTCGCAGACGAGGTCGCTCCGCGCCTGCTCGGCGTCGTCGACGGGATCGTCGTCGTGCCACCGCCGGAGCCACGAGTAGTTGCCGGAGATTCCCGGGTCGTCGCAGATGAAGTCGCAGGACGCTAAGCTCAGATCCGCGTACCGCACGTCCATGTAGAACATCGCCCGCGCGATGTCGCCGCGGACGTCGGCCGGCGGCCGCCACGACTCGGCGTCGGCCGCCGTGTCGTCCGCGGCCTCGTCGTACGCGGGCGACTCGCAGCCCGGCAGCCCCTCGCAGTTTCCAAAGATTTTGTTGCCGCGCGCGGAGTTCGTGCTGCCGTCCGCCGCGACCAGGTGGTGCAGGTCGCTAAAGTCCGCGCCGGAGTAGCCGACGCCGTGGCTCTTGGGCCACAGATGCTCGCGGTTCCAGCCGTCGGTCGCGCCGGACAGGCTCGCCGCCACGGACCGCCGCGTGTAGATCCCGACGACGTTGTCGGCGTTCGACGGATCCGCGTCGAGGACGTAGAGCGCGTCCCAGGTGTCCGTGGCGTCGGACGTGTAGGGCACGACGTCGTGCGGCGACGAGATGCGGTCCTGGAGAGCGGCGCGGAGGGCCGCGCCGGTCAAAGTGAGATCGACGTCGGCGTAGTAGCTGTCGATGTCGCAGCTCCGCGCGAGGGCGACGAGCAGCGTGCAGCGAAAGAGGCGTTTTGGGCTGCCCATATGCGCTTTGAGCGCGCAAGGTGAAGCCAAACTTGACCGAAAGCTGAACCTCGGCGCCGGCATCTCAGGCGATGTACGCCCGCCAGCGTCTGAGGCCGCCGCCGCTGCCGTGAACGCACCGCCGATGTCGCAAACCGACCTCTACGCCGGCGCCGGCTACAAGATGATCGAGGTCGAGGGCGCGGCGTTCCGCGTGCTCCTGGGCACGGATCCCCAGCAGGTCGCCGAGTGGCGCGCGGAGCGGCGGAAGCGCTGGCCGTCGCGCGCGAACCTCGAGCAGCAGGCCGCCGCGAAGCGCGCCAAGGTCGAGCGCGACGAGGCGCCGACCGGGCTCCTGGGCCTCGCGGGCTACGCGAGCGACAGCGACGGCGACGGCGCCGCGGCGGCGCCCGCCGCGGCGGCCGCGGCCGCGCCCGCGCCCGCGCCGCGGCTGAACCCGTGCCTCAGCATGCTCCACGGCGGCGCCTGCGCCCGCGGCGACGCCTGCCGCTACTCGCACGACGTCTCGGACGTGCCGCGATGCAAATTCTTCGCGGAGCACGGCTCCTGCCGCCGGGGGCGCGGCTGCCGCCACGCGCACCACGACGGCGGGGCGCGCGAGCGGCACCTGGGGCCCGCGGCCTTCGTGCCGCCGGGCGGCACGATGCTCCGGAAGCTGCTCCACCGCGACATCACGCGCGAGACGAGCCTCATCCTCCAGTGCATCACGCACATCCTCGACGAGGGCATCGGCGAGGAGGACGCCGCGCGATAAGGCCGTGTTATCCGGGCGCGTGAATCTGGAGCATCCAGTCGTACACCTCGGGGAGCTTCGACGCCGAGATGCCGCACGTGTGCCCCCGCGCGGAGCCCGCGACGTTCTCCGGGTCCGAGTCGTAGCGCGTGTACCTGACGACGTCCCGCGCGCCGCCGCGCCGCAGGCTCGCGACGAGGCGGTCGCTGTTGGCGACGTCGAAGATGGCGTCGTCCGCGGAGTGGAACGCCCAGACGGGCACGTCCGCGAGGCGGCTGACGGCCGCCGCCGGCAGCGTCCCCGTGAAGCCGTAGGAGCACACGACGCCGCCGGCGAAGCGCTTCGTCGTCAGGAGCTCCACGGCCTCCGTCGCGCCGTCGGAAAAACCAAAGAGAAAGACGCGGCTCGGGTCCGCGTCGGGGCAGCCCGCCGCGCGGCCGGCGTCGCTCAAGACCCAGTCGACGAAGGCGAGCATCTTGGACCGCGGGTCGCCGTAGAGGCTCAACCGGCCGGCGGAGTAGGGCGCGACGACGGCGAAGTTCTCCGCCAGCGACGGCGGCGCGGCGCCGGCCGCGAGGAGGCTCGGCGCGAGGCCGCGGTGCTCGCCCTGGATGTCCGCGAGGTTCCAGACGTCGCGCGCGTTCTCGCCCGCGCCGTGAAGTACGACGACGAGCGGCGGTTTTTTCTTGCCCGGCGGCGCGTAGGCCAGCGCCGTGTAGGTCGCCGGGTCCGTCACCGCGCGCAGTCGTGCCGCCGTGCCGGTGGCGGCGGCGGCGCGCGCCGGCGTGGCAGCAGCAGCTGTGGCGATTGCGGCAGAGCTCGCAGTAGTGGCAGCAGCTGCGGCAGCCTTCGCAGTACGCGGCAACACAGGCCGCAGCGACGACGCCGCCGCGCCGACGATCGCGTCCTTTCGCGTCACTCTCAAAGCATCGACGTGCGCGAGCACCGCGGCTGCGAGCACGACGCGCATGACGCAGAGCATCGTTGGCAGCTCTCAGAGAGCCGCTTCAATGTGCCCTTCACTTTACCCGAAGCGCACGCCCTCGCCGCGCTCGTTGACCATGTGGGGCTCGCCCTCCTCCCACTTGCCGAGGTCCTGGTGGCGCAGGTTGTCGCGGCCGCAGCGCATGCAAGTCACGGCGGCGCTGCCCATGCCGCAGTTGTTCACGCGCATGTTCCGGGGCGTGAACCGGATGCAGCTCGGGTCGTCGAGGCAGCGGCCGCGCTTCGTGCCGAAGACGTCGATCTGCCAGCCGCCGTCGGCGATGTCCTCGCCGCCGACGGGCTTCTCGATGATGCCGTCGAGGTCCGCGCGCCGCGCCTTGCCCTCGTCGAAGGCCGGGCCGAGGACGACCTCGGGCGCCGCGACGGCGGCGCCGCCCGGCGCGGCCGCGGGCGCGGCCGCGGGCGCCGGCGCGCGCGTCGTCGCCGGCTGGTAGGCGAGGTGGGGCTGGATCCAGCCCGCGTTGTCCGTCGCGAGCTTCACGAAGTCGTTCTTCTCCGCGAAGCCCTTCGTGGACAGGCCGTTCGCGTGGAGGACGAGCTTCAGCTCCTTGATGGACAGCGTCTTCCAGTCCACCTCGTCTGGTTTTGCTTCCTCCTCGGGCGCGTCCTCCGCCGCCGCCGCCTCCGGCGCGACCTCGGGCGCCGCGGCCGCCGGCGCCTCCGCGTCCGCCGGCGCCTCCGCGGCCGCCGCCGGAGCCGCCGCGGCGGGCGCCTCGGGGAAGTCCCAGCTCGTCTCGCCCGTGGCCCGGCAGTGGTAGTACGGCGTGCCGTCGCTCGGGTCCACGAACTTGGCCCAGCCGGCGGGCAGCGGCTTCGCCGGCGGCCCGACGCCCGCGCTCTGGTAGGCCAAGTTCCGCAGCTCGCGCTTCTCGACGATGGACGCGTCCGGCGTGACGTTGCGCTCGCCGAGGAACTTCTTCAGGTCCTTGATGGACATGGCGCCGATGCGCTCGAACAGGTCATCGTCGTTGCTTGCGGACGTCTTCGCATTGTCCCACGGCGCGTCCACGAGTGAAGCCATCGTCGGTGGTGGCCTTTCGGGCAGCCTCGCCGGGGCTGCCCGGCCCTTCCTTCAGCAGCGCACCACCGGAGGAGCCCGACGCCGCCCGCGGGTCTCTTACGCCTACCGGCGGCGCTTCTCGTCGCGGTCGACCTTCTCCCGGAGCTGCGCGTCCTTGGCGGACCGCGAGACGCCGTCGAGGAGGCGGCCGACGTTGAGCTTGATCTCCTTGAAGCCGAGCGCGCTGCCGTCCTCCTCCTCGTCCCAGGACGCGGAGAGCGCGCCGTAGCCGATGCCCAGGAGGCCGATGACCCAGGGCACCGTCGTCGCCGTCGCGACGGCCGTCGGCTGGAAGACGTTGTCGTCGCGCGTCGCGGCGAAGTAGAACCAGACGAAGAGGCCCACGCCCCCGAAGGCCGGCAGCCCGCCGAAGAGGGCCATGCGCAGCACCATGCGGTTCGCGACGGCGTCGGGCACGCGCGCGGCCTCGACGCCGGCCTCGCGCACGTACGCGTCGCGCTCGCGCAGGTCCTCGACCTGCGCGCTCACCTCGGCGGCGCGGTCCTCCTCCTTGGCCAGGAGCTGCGCCAGGAGCTCCGAGTTGCCGCTCGCCTCGAAGTCGGCGCCGGCGCCCGCGGCGTCCTCGGCGAAGGACAGCTGCGGCGGCGCGTCCTTCTTCTTGGGCTTCTTCTTCTTCGACGGCGCGCCGAAGCCCCTGTCCGCGGCGACGCGGACGGTCTGGCGTATGGACGGTCGCCGCGCGGGGGCGAGGGCCGTCGTCGCCGCGGCCAGGAGGCTCGCGAGCACCACGATTGATCGAGCCATTGCCGATCCCCGCGTCAAGGTCGGCTGTGGCAAAATTTCCCTGCATCATCGTCCTCGATCGATGCTGCGCTTGCGCCGACTCTGCCGTCTGAGGCGGCATTCGTCGGTCGAATTCGAGCCCGCCGGGCGCGGCCTCCGTCGCCGACAGACGTCCAGCGACGATATAAACCATGGGCATCGGCCTCGACAACATCCTGAGCGACAAGGGCCACTTTAGCGACTTCGTGTGCCCGATCTGCCAGGAGGTCGCCGAGGGCGCGACGATCCTGGGCTGCTCCCACGTCTTCTGCGCCTTCTGCATCGGCGAGTTCCAGGAGCGCCAGCTGAAGCAGGGCGTCGCGGCGGCCTGCCCCGTCTGCCGCCAGGGCGACGTCGCGGGCGCGAGACCGCTCGCGGAGGCGAACCCGCTCGCGGGCCGCATCTACAACCGCGTCCAGTGCCGCTGCCCGCTCGCGGACCAGGGCTGCGCCTGGACGGGCGATCTCATCAACCTCCAGGGCCACCTCACGAACTCGAGCGAGCACCTCGACCTCAAGGCCGCGGCCGGCGCGGCGACGCCGGACGCGTCCGGCTTCGTCGCGCGCTGGGTCGGAGGCGCGGAGAAGCCGCCCGCGGAAGAGACGGCGGAGGCCGCGGCGGCGCGGCTCCAGCGCACGGCCGACGCCCTGAAGGAGCAGGCGGACCAGAAGTACCAGATCAAGGCCTACGGCGCGGCGAGCGAGATCTACGGCAAGGCCATCGCCGTCTGCCCCGACGTCGCGGCGTACCGGTCGAACCGGGGCGCCTGCCACTTCATGGTCGGCGCCTACGAGGCCTGCGTCCAGGACTGCGACGCCGCGCTCGCGCGCGACGCGACCCTCGTGTCCGCCGCGTGCCGGCGCGCGCGCGCGTGCGTCGAGCTCGGCTTGACGGACGAGGCGCGGTCGGGCCTCGAGGCGGCCAAGGCCGCCGCGAGCGAGGCCTGCGCGGCGCGCGGCGGCGGCGCGGCGCTCGTCGCCGCGCTCAAGAAGCTCGACGGCGAGCTCGAGCGCGTCGCGGCCGTCGCCGCGGCCGTCAAGGCCGGCCGCGACGCGTTCGGGGCCGGGGACGTCGTCCGCGCGGCCGCGTCCTTCGGCGGCGCGCTGAAGGACACGGAGAGCGCCTGCATCGTGTTGGGCGCGGCGACGGCGGAGCTGGGGTTAGGAAGGGTGGACCGGTGCCTGCGGCTCACGCTCCAGGTGCTCCGGCGGAGCGACGCGGCGCGGTGGCGGCCCGCGGCGCTCATCGTCCGCGGCGCGGCGATGGTGCTGAGCGACCAGGGGGAGGGGGGGATCGCCCTGCTGCGCGAGGCGCTGCGCCTCGACCCCGACGGCGCGGACGCGAAGAAGACGACGAAGGCGGCGCTGCGGCTCGGCCGGCGCCGCGACGCCGCGAAGGCGCTCATGAACAAGCGCGCGTTCGACGACGCCGCGGCGGCCTACGGCGAGTTGCTGGACGAAGATTTAGGCCAGGCCTTCCTCGAGAAGCGCCAGTCCATGGACGCGGCGTCCTTCCCGGATCTGGCGGCGCTGGCGCCCGTGTCGCCCCTCGCGGCCGTCGCGCGGGCGGAGCGCGCGAACTGCCACCTCCGCCGCGGCGAGCCCGTCGCGGCGGTGTCGGACTGCGCGACGGCCATCTACATCAAGGACGATCTGGTGGACGCCCACGTGACGCGGGCGACGGCCCTCGGCGCCCTGGGCAAGCACGACGACGCCTGCGGCCACCTCCGGGACGTCGTCGAGCGCTGGGGCGGCCGCGACGTCCGGCTGCAGCACGCGTACGAGCAGGCGGACTTCGAGCGGCGCAAGAAGCTGCGGCCCGACTACTACGCCATGCTCGACTGCCGCAAGGTGAGCTCGGAGCGCGAGATCAAGGGCGCCTACTGGAAGCAGAGTTTGGCGCACCACCCGGACAAGCACGCGGCGGCCGCGCCGGACGTCCGGGCGCGCCACGAGGCCCAGTTCAAGGCCCTCGGCGAGGCTTTGGAGGTGCTGTCGGACCCCATGAAGCGCGACCTCTACGACAAGGGCTACGACAAGGAGGCCATCGCGAAGAAGCTCGAGGCCGCGAACCGCGCGGCGAACAACGCGGGCGGCTGCTGCGGCGGCGGCGGCTGCGGCTCCGGGGGCTGCGGCTGAATAGGGCGCCTCACTAACTGTATATGTCCAAATCTTAGTAGCCTCCTGCGGGGCACCAGAAGCCGACGACGGTTCCGGCGGCGTCGAGGGGAAAGGCTCGTTTGGCGCACTTGCAGACGAGGCCGGCGAGGACGCGCCGATGGCGGCGGACGTGCTCTTTCCATCCGCCGACGCGGTTGACGGAATCCATGAGCTCAAATGCGGCTTCCTTTGCTGCGGTGCGCACGAGGTTGTGATGCGTAGTCGGCATCTCTCTCGCGCCTGCACGTAGAAGGAGCTTGACGAGGTCGCGGCGGCCATTTTGAATTGGGGGGAACAGGGGTTGGTCTGTCACGAACTGCGAGTTGATGTCTGGAGCGGCTGCGAGGAGAAGCTCAACACAAGGTATGACAAGTTCATCGCAATGAATGAGTGCATCGCGTAGCGGAGTCCCCGCCTCGCTCTGCGCGTACACATCGGCTCCCGCGGCGATGAGCAGTTCGACGCAACGCAGATGATGACCATGTGCTGCGTAGTGGAGCGGAGTAGCGCCTTCAGTGTCGCACGCTCTATGATCAGCCCCGTGTTGTAGCAAGATTTCCACGCACTCGGCATGCCCGTTGGCGGCAGCGTGGTGCAAGGGGGTCCAGTCTGCGTCCTCAGTATTGACGTAGTTAACGTCTGCGCCTGCGTCGATGAGCGCGAGAAGGCGTGCGGGGTGTCCCCGGCTCTTTTCGTTGCTTGCAGACGCACCACACGCGCGCAATATCCCCGTCACAAGGTCCATCGCGAGGATCTGGTTCGGCAGGTCGCCGGACGTCGCCGCGGCGACGTAGAGCGCTACTATTTTACTCCTAATTGCCTTCGCAGGCGCCCATCGGACCCAAGCTCGAGAGGCACCTTCGACAACGAGCAGTGTGATTGAGCCTTCATTGAAGTCACCCATCTTGCGCAACGAGCAAATCGGCGGTGCTTCCAGCGCGCTCTCCGCCGCGCGGCGCGGGGCCGCCAGCCGCCCGTGACCACCTGGCGCGATTAAAGAGGGACCTAGGTCGCGCACGTGATCATGCCGAAGAAGCGCGAATACCAGGGCCGGTCGACCTCGTCGTTGAGGAAGCCCGGCGCGAGCGCGAAGTCGTGGAGGTCCGGCGGCGCGAGGCCCTCCGTGAGGAGCCACGCGTGCGCGTAGCGGCGGCCGAGGATCTCCGCGGAGAGCGCGTCGAAGTGCAGGTTGTCGCCGAGGTGCGAGAGGCCCAGCGCGGAGCAGACGGACACGAGGCGGCCCTCCTGGTCCAGGACGCCCGGCGCCTTGCAGATGGCGTCGTTGACCGCGCGCGCGTGCGGGAAGCGCTTCGCGTCGAGGAAGTTGACGCCGAGCTCGCCGACGATCATGACGGGCACGAAATCCGCGGCGTCGCAGCAGGCCCGCTCGGGCAGCGACCGGGCGACGCGCGCGAGCGCGTCGGGGTAGGCCGCGGCGCGGGCCGCGTCGTCGGCGTCGGACTCGCCCTGGTGCCAGAGCACGCCCGAGAGCCGCGCGTCCGCGGCCGCGCTCGCCTCGACGGACGCCTTGGCCGCGTCGGCCGCGGCCGCGAAGAGGTCGCCGCCGTCGGGCTCCCAGCGCGCGATGGCCGTGCCGCCGACGGCGCAGGGCACGAGGCCGACGCAGCGCTCGGCCGCGGGCAGCGCCTGGATGATCTCGCGCGCGAAGCTCAGGCCCGGCCCGACGCCCGCGGTGTCCTTGTCGCTGTGGAGCGGGTGGTGCGCCGGCGCGGCCCAGGCGCCGTCTTTCCACACGAAGATGCGGTCGTCGAGCGCGGGCGCCTCGCGCGTCGTCGCGTCGTCGGCGAGGACGCCGCGGCCCGCCATGTTCGACTGGCCCGCGAGCAGGAAGACGTGCACCGGCTGCGTCGGCACGACGATCTCCTCCTTCTCCTCGTCGGGGTCCACGGGCGGGCTGCCGTTCGACTCCGCCATGGCGGCGCGAGTGGCGGCGGAGGATTACGGCACCCCGGGTGCATCCAAATTCATATTCCTTCAACATAGCTTACATTTCCCCGAAGCGTCACCTCTTATTTCGAGGTGTGAGCTCGATCTCGGGCTGCCGCGGCGCCCGCGGCGCTTTGTCGCGCGCGACCCGGCGGCGGACCCGCGCTTCGGGACCTCGAGGCGCGTTCGCCGCGCGTGATCCGGACCCGCGCGTCGCTCGAGTCGTCGGGGCGCCGCCGGGCGGCGGCGCGCGGGCGCCATGGACATCGACGACCGCCTGGAGATCGTGGTCCGGAGCGGCCGGGACCTGCCCGAGGCCGAGGGCGGCGAGTGCAACCCCTTCGCGCTCATCATCTGCGGCAAGGAGAGCGAGACGACAAACGTCGCGAACTCGACGACGAACCCCGATTGGAACGCGACGCGCATGATCTTCGTGGACATCGCGGAGAACGACGTGGACCACATGCTGCTGCGCGTCATGCACAAGAACCTGAGCGGCGGGCCGGACACGCCGCTGGGCCAGTGCATCGTGGACCTGCGCTCCGCGGTGCTGAGCCCGGGCATCGAGACCGAGGACTCGTACGAGCTGTCGCCGCAGCCGGGGCAGAAGACGCCCGTCGGCGGGCGCATCAAGGTCGAGATGTCCTATTTTATCAGCGACGGCGACCTGGACCTGCCCGACGGCGAGGACAGCGACGACGACGACGAGGACACGGGCCCCAACATGCTCGTGGGCACGATCTTCCGCGCCAAGGGCCTCTACCTCGAGGGCAAGCCCTTCGTGGACGCCTACGTGACCGTGCGCGTCGGGCGGAAGAAGGCGAAGACGCCCGTCGTCAAGAGCAACGGGCCCATGTACAACTTCGAGTTCCGCCTGCCCGTGTCGTCGGGCGAGGACGACGTCGTGCTCAAGGTCAAGGACAAGGGCGTCCTGTCGAACCAGCTCGTCGGCGAGTGCGTCCTGCCCATGGTCGAGGTCGCGTCCTACGGCGACACGGGACGACAGAAGTGGTGCCGGCTTTTAGGGAAGCACGGCCTCGTCGACGGCGAATCCCGCGGCGAGGTCGAGGTGTCCCTCGCCTGGGTCTACGACCGCAAGTACGCCCGGTCCTTCGCGCGGCTCATGGCCGCCGGCGGCGCCCTCGTCGGCGCGGCGGGCGCGCTCTTCGCGCGCAAGGTCCAGGTCGCCAAGGAGGAGAAGGACGAGGAGACGGGCGACGGCGGCGAGAACTCGTGGATGATGGAGGAGGAGGCCTTCGTGCCCATCAAGCTCTCGTCGAAGCAGCAGGAGGAGCTCGAGGAGCGCCGCGAGGCGGGAATCATGATGGCGGACCGGAAGCTGGACGACATCGAGAAGTCGCAGGCGGGCCGGATGCAGCCCGGCGACTACCAGGTCCAGGTCCACATCATCGAGTGCCGCGACCTCAAGGGCGAGGATCTGAACGGGCTGAGCGACCCCTACGCGCGCGTCAAGGTCATGAACCGCGTGCGGAAGACGCGCGTGATCAAGAAGTGCACGTCGTGCGTCTTCGACGAGGTGCTCTACTTCAACTTCGCGAACCTCCAGCCGTCGAAGATCGCCGAGGCCAACGTCGAGATCTCCATCTTCGACTTCGACGTCTTCGGCGCCCACGACCTCATCGGCCTCGCGGCCTGGAACTGCGGCGCGATCCACGCGCTCCCGGACCACGAGTTCTACCGGAAGTGGGTCGGCCTCATCGACAACTCGAACAAGGACGACAACGGCTACCAGGGCTACATGAAGGTGTCCATCACGGTGCTCGGCCCCGACGACGAGCAGAAGGCCCACGACGTCGACAAGGAGTACCAGGAGGAGCTCGACCGCGAGATGGACGACGGCGGCGACGCGGGCGGCATGGCGCTCTCCGGGCCGGACCAGGAGTCGAAGCTCGTGTTTCTCGTGGTCTACGTCTGGGAGGCGGAGGACCTGCCCCAGATGGACGCGTCGGGCATGTTCACCCGCGGCGGCATCGAGGCCTACGTCCGCGTGGACTTTGCCGGGTCGAAGATCCGGACGAGCTCCATCTCCGTGACGGGCAAGGGCAACCTGGCGCCCGAGTTCCGCGAGGAGCTCTGGATCCCCGTGAGCGAGCCGACGGAGGCGGCGCGCATCACCGTGGGCCTCTGGGACTACAACACGTTCACGCGGGACCGGCCCGTCGCGCACGCGTACTTCGACTACTCGGAGCTCAAGCGCAATCTGGAGAAGCCCAAGAGCTCCATGTTCGGCACGGCCTTCGGGGGCGTGAAATACACGGGCCCGCGGCCCCGCTGGCACACGCTCTACGGCGCGCCCCTCGGCGTCCAGGGCAAGCGCGGCGCGCTCCAGAACCGCTTCGGCGACGAGGCGTCGACGTACCGGGGGCGGGTCCTCCTGTCCATGGAGGTCATGGAGCGGCCGCCCCGGGGCGAGCGGAGCGTCGCCCACGCCAAGAACTTCCGCTTCGTCGCCAAGGAGGGGCTCAAGCCGTCGCGCGTCAAGTACCACCTCCGCACGCTCGCCGTGCTCGGTTCGGAGATCCCCCAGTTCTCCGTGCCCATGACGGGCAAGACGGCGACGATGCGCCTCGTCGTCTCCATCGGGAACCACCGCCTGGCCTTTGGCTGGAAGAAGAACGAGCGGGGCCTCGTGACGTGGAACGAGCTCCACACGCTCCGGTCCGTCGATTTACCGGTACTGATCGACGAGCTCCCGGACATCTGCATCTACCTCCAGCGGGGCCCGCCCAAGGTCATGACTATCTGCTACTGCCGCGTGCCCGCGGCCAAGTTCCTCAAGGCCCAGTTCAGCGGCGACCCGGAGTGGTTCCAGCTCCGGCCGGACGCGTGCCGCACGCGGAAGATGGGCGGCGTCGACCTCGCCGCGAACCCCGGCGCGGTGCTGCTCAAGCTCGGCTTCGGCCTCAGCGAGGACGCCGTCTACCCCGAGTTCGCCTGGGACGAGCCGGGGCTGCTCAAGAAGTGCACGACGGTGCGGCCCTTCACCATGCGGCTCTACGTCTACCAGGCGCGGCACCTGCCGCCGTCGGACGCGAACGGCATGCTCGACCCCTACGTCAAGGTGCGCTTCCTCGGCAAGAAGCAGAAGACGGCGGTCCACTCCATGACGACGGCGCCCCTCTTCTACGAGACCCTGCAGTTCACGGAGTACCTGCCCGAGGACAGCGCGTACGCGCCGGACGTCGTGCTGCAGGTCTGGGACGCGGACACGTTCGCGTCGAACACGCCCATGGCCATGCTCCGGCTATCCCTGGGCGCCTTCGCGCAGCTCTCGAGCGAGTCGTCGCGGCCGCCGACGCCCAAGTGGCGCCGGCTCTGCGACCTCAACGGCGAGCCCATCGGCGGGGAGATCCTGGTCGCGGGCGCGCTCATCTTCAAGCGCGACGTCAACGAGAAGACGAACAAGCCCGAGAGCATCGTGCCCCAGATGCGCCAGGCCTGGGTCGAGGTGACCTGCGTCGGCGTGCGCCAGCTCAAGACCTACCGCCTGCGGACGCCCTCCGAGCCCTACGTCCGCGTCGACGTGCCCGCGCCCGACGACGGCGGCAACAACTTTAGCACGCGGCCGTCGTCGAGGCCGTCCGGGCGCAACGCGAACTTCATCGAGCGCAAGACCATGTGCCTCGAGATGCCCGAGAACGCGCTCTTCGCCCAGCAGATGGACCTGCGGGTCTACAACTCCGTGCTCGGCAGCGACCCGCTCCTCGGCGCGACGTCGATCGACCTCGCGCCGAAGATGTCGTGGAACACGGAGCTCTACGTCGCGCCGCAGATGGAGCTCTTCGACGACGCGGCCCAGCGGAAGCGCGAGGCCGCCGCGGAGCAGGCCAAGGCCGCCGAGGAGGCGCGGCTCGCGGCGCTCGAGGAGAACGAGGGCGACGCGGACAACGACGGCGGCGCGGGCGCGGGCTCCGTGGGCGTGACCTTCGGCGAGGGCGACGCGGAGGACGACGACGTGTCGAGCCTCGGCGACGAGGTCGACCAGCACGAGCTCGAGCGCTTCGACGAGGACAACCTGCCCATGGGCGCGGGCGGCGCGGACCTGGGCACGGGCGCGTTCGACCCCATGTCGATCCACGAGCTGCCCATGGTCTACGAGGACATCCTCTACATGGAGGAGCAGGAGCGCCTCCTGGCGGAGATCGCCGCGGAGGCGAAGGAGAACGAGGAGGGCCACGGGCTGCTCGACATGGTCGAGGCGCGGCTCAAGAACGCGACGGACCTGGGGCTGGACACGGACGTGCAGTACAAGCTCAGCGACCTGCCCATCTCCTTCCCGTCGCAGTGGGCCGTCGCGGAATACCTCAACGGCCGCGAGTGGTGGACGAACAAGGACGGGCTGGAGCTGGAGAAGTTCCTGAAGACGAAGCCCTTCGAGACGTACCCCGTCTACCGCGGCAAGTACCACCCGAACCCGTCCAAGTCGACGCTGCGGTCCGTGGGCTTCTTCAAGGGCATCATCCGCGTCCTGGACAGCGACCCGTCCTTCGAGGCCGAGCCCTTCTTCCCCATGGCCGTGCTCAAGCCCCAGCAGTACATCTGCCGCCTCTACGCGATCCGCGGCGCGAACCTCCAGCCCGTCGACGGCAACTCCTGCGACCCCTACCTGCGCGTCAAGCTCGGGTCCGAGGTCGACTCGCGGTCCGACTCCAAGCTGTTGCGCACGCTGAAGCCCGACTTCTACGAGACCTTCGAGTTCACGACGACGCTGCCCGGGCCCGCGGTGCTGAAGATCCAGGTCAAGGACTGGAACCGGTTCTACCCGATCCACGAGCTCGTCGGCGAGACGAAGATCGACCTCGAGGACCGCTGGTTCCACCGCGACTGGCAGGCCATCGACGAGCTCGAGCCGGGCACGAAGAACAAGCTCAAGCCCATCGAGATCCGGTCGCTCCACAAGGAGGGGTCCCACACGGCCCAGGGCCAGGTCCACATGTGGCTCGAGATCCGGCCCGAGCGCGAGGCGCTCCGCGAGCCGCGGACGGTCCTCGAGGCGCCGGAGAAGCGCGAGTTCGAGGTCCGCGTCATCTGCTGGAAGACGAAGGACGTGCCCTACGAGTCCGGCGACTACTACGCCGAGTTCCAGATCGGCGACAGCAAGAAGCAGTGCACGGACATCCACTGGCGCTGCCGCAGCGGCCGCGCGTCCTGGAACTGGCGCCTCAAGTTCCCCGTGGAGCTCCCGCTCGCGTCGCCGGAGCTCGGGCGGCTGAACGTCCAGCTCTGGGACAAGGACATCATCAAGTGGAACGACATCATCGGCCAGTCCCAGCTCGACCTCTACCGCTGGCTCCTCAAGGCCTACCGCGAGAACCGGGCCGTGAACGTCTTCACGGAGATCAACCAGGCCATCGAACGGAAGAAGAAGGAGGAGATGGGCATCATGGACTCCGACGACGAGGACGACGACGACGACGACGACGACGACGACGGGTCGGGGTCCGAGTCGGGCTCCGAGGGCGACGGCGGCGACGGCGACGGCGACGGCGACGGCGGCGGCGGCGGCGGCGGCGACGGCGACGGCGAGGAGAAGCCCGACGGCGGCGACGGCGGCGAGGAGACCAAGGAGGAGGGCGGCGACGGCGACGGCGCCGAGGCCGAGGGCGAGAAGGCCGACGGCGACGGCGAGGCGCCGAAGAAGAAGAAGAAGAAGAAGAAGAAGGACGACGACGACGACGACGACGGCGACAAGAAGCCGCTGTCCGAGGACGAGATCGCCGAGAAGGACGCGCAGTTCTTCGTCGCCCAGCTCAAGAACCTCATGGGCCTCGGCCCCCTGGACGCGTCGGCGCAGTGGCTCAAGATGACCTACAAGGACCAGAAGCGGCACCGCGTCTACCACCGCGGCGCGATCGCCATCTCCGTGGAAATCCTGCCCAAGGAGGACGCGGAGAACCGGCCCGCGGGCCACGGCATCGCGGAGCCGAACCAGAACCCGACGCTCCCGCCGAGGAGCGGGCGCCTGGCGCTGTCCACGGACCCCTTCGCCATCCTCTCCGAGCTCTTCGGGCCCCAGTGCATGTTCATCTTCTGCTGCTGCCTCTGCTGCGTGCTCGTCGCGCTCCTCTGGTTCTACCTCGGCATGTACTACGTCAACATCTACAACATGCTCGAGGCCTTCGGCATCGTCGGGGACAGCGCGATCTAACGGTGGGCAGTTTGTTTTGCTTCGTTCCCGATGGCTGGTTGAAGTGTTAGTTGAACTGCACGAGCAGCCGAGCGCCTGAAGTCGACGCATGCGATGTGCTGACTTGGCAGGACACTATTCGTGCACCGTTGAGGGCGCATCGACAGACGCGCACGCCGGTCGCATCGCTCTCTAGACGACCATGAAGCTCGGCCGGCTCCAGCTCGGGTCGCGGCCCTGGCACCACGGCCTCCTGGGCGCGAGCTCCCTGGTCTTCACCTTCGCCGCGCTCGTCACCATGCGCGACGGCTTCCTGCTGCTCTCCATGGCCTGCACGACGCCGCTGGCCCTGGGCTCGCTGGCCCTGCTCACCCAGGCGCCGCAGTCCACGGCCATCGCGCGCGGCATCGTCGCGCCGCACCGCGAGGCGTACAAGCGGACGATCTCCGTCGTGCTCTACCTGAACGTGCGGCTCGCGCGGAGCGCGGGCTGGTGGCCCTTGGGGACGCGCGCCTACGGCGCCGCCTGCGCCGCCTGGGCGCTCTGGCTCCTGCCGCGGTCCGCCTTCGACAACGGCAACACGCTCGTCTTCGTGTTGCCCATCTTCGCGGGCGTCGCGCTGGACGCGCGGCACCAGCTCGCGGGCCTCGGCCTCGAGCGCTGCCCGGGCCACGGCGCGGACGCTCGTGGGCATGCAGCTCGTGGCGCTCGTCGTCGCCTTCGCGTTCACGTTGGCGTTCCGCGGCTACCTGCGGACGCGGCGGCTCTACGCGGCGTCCGCCGGGGCCGTCGCCGCGTGCCTCGGGACGCTGCTCACGGGGGCCGTGCCGGCGCCCGCGGCCGCCGGGCTGGCCGCCGCCGTCGCGCTCGACGCCTGGTGCGCCGCGAACCCGCCGCCGCGGCCGGCCGACTCGCCGGCGGCGGACGCGCGGGCGAAACGCGCCCCGACCCCGCCGTCCGCGCCGCCGCCGCGCGTCGCGGCCGCCGCCGGCGGCGCGCCGCCCGCGGCGGACGCGCGCGGCCGCGGAGCCGCCGCCGGCGGCGCGCCGCCCGCGGCGGACGCGCGCGGCCTCTCCGCGGCGCTGGCCTACGCGCGGGGCAAGCTCGGCGCCGTCGAAGTGACGGAGTACGACGACGACGCGCGCCGTGTGGCGCCCTCGGCGGCGGACGTCGACGCCGTGCTCGCGGCCTGCGCCGAAAAGGCGCCGCGCTTCGCGGCGGACCCGTCCGCGCGGGGCTGGGCGGCGCGGAGCCTCGTCACGCACCACGGCAACGTCTTGAAGGCCGCCCGCGTCTGCGCGAACCTCGCGAAGTTCCGCGACGCGAACGGCTGGGCCTACCGCCTCGACGGCGACGCCGCGGCCCTCGAGAAGGAGCTCCGGAGCGGCATGCACTGGGTCCTGCCGGGCCACGACGTCCTCGGGCGCCGCGTCGTCGTCTACAACGCGCGCGCGCTGCTGGAGCGCCACGATATCGAGAAGCTCCAGAAGATGCTCTGCCTGCTGCTCGAGCGGCTGCTGCTCGACGAGGGCACGATGCGCCGAGGCGTGATCGTCGTCGCGGACTGCCGGGGCGCGACGGCGAGCATGGCGCGGCGCTTCCGCCTGAAGGACGTGACGCGCGGGTCCGAGATGCTCGCGGACGCGTTCCCGTGCCGGCTCCGGGGGTTGTACCTGGTCGGCCTGCCGGGCGTGCTGAAGCCCCTCGTCTACCTCGTCAAGACGTTCATGACGAAGAAGCAGCGCGACCGCATCCACGTGTCGACGAAGGAGTTGCTCGCTGCGGTCGACCGGCGGGAGCTCCCCGCGAGCCTCGGCGGCGACGACGCGTCCTTCGACTGGGACGCCATCGTCGACCGCCTGCTCGACGCGCAGCCCGCGGACCCGCCGCACGCGTGGCTCGACGACCGCCGCCCCGCGCTCATGGTCGGCTAACACAGTTCTATTTCGCCGACGGGGCCGCCCTTCGACGACGGCGCCGGCGGCGCGGCCGCCTTCTCGAGTAGGAGGTCGTAGGTGAACCGGTTCTTGCGCGTCTCCCGCACCCCCAGCGCGACGAGCGCGAGGATGAGCGCGCAGAGAATGGCGATGGCCACGAGTCCCGCGACGACGCCCGAATTCGCCTCCTCGTCGTCGCAGCGCGCCTTCGCCGCGGAGATCGTCGAGCAGTCGCTGCCGTCGTAATCGCCGAAGCAGAAGCAGCCGGGCGCGCCGCGGTGCTCGTCGAAGGCGCAGACGCCGTTGCCCGAGCAGAGCCGGAGCTCGCCGCTCGACGACAGGCCGATCTCGCACTCGCGCGGGCAGCCCCAGATCGTCTCGAGCTCCAGGGAGTAGTGGCACGGCGTCGACACGAGCTCCTCGACGTACTCCTCGAAGCGGTCCGGAATGTTGAACTTGTCCTTGCACACGAGGTCGAAGGTAAACTGGCGGTCGCCGGTCCAGCCGCAGGTGTCGCCGCCGCCGTACGTCAGCCGCACGCCGCGCGCCGGGTCCGCGCCGTCGAGGAGCGAGAAGTTGCCGTCGAGCGCGCCGAGGCGGTAGCACGACTCGTACCACTGCGCGACCTGGAACGCGGCGCCCGCGCCGCGGTCCTCGCAGGCGGCGGGCAGCTCCCGCGGGTCCACGGAGCCGCAGACGTTGACGCTGTACGTGTAGTTGCGCGTCGCGTCGAACATGTCCTCGACGTGGTAGGCGCCGCCGGCCTTGTGCAGCGGGCTCAGGTCGAAGGTCGCGTTCATCGCCGCGAAGGCGCAGGAGGCCATGGTGTCTTGCCGACGTGCTAGTTGGGGCTATCTTGCCGACAAACTATTTGGGGCTGCCCATCGCGATATCGAGCGAGTTTCTGCGTCAACGTCTGCTACCGAAGATCTACCGAAAGTTCACAAAGTCGTACTGGTCTTTGCAGAAACGTTGTCCGCAACAAGTGAAGCTGAAGACGGAATCCCCGCAGCAAGTCGATAAATATTGCAGCAAGTCGATGGACGCGTCGATTATCGGGCAGCCCGTTCGGCATGATCTGGCCCACGATGGGCACAACGGAGAGTACTTCGCTATGGGAAGTCGGGGTCAGGGGTGTCGAAAAACCACTCCGCGCTGTCTCGGGGCTCGCATGGGCTAAGATCGGTCTTCCCACACGCTGCGCGACATGCTGCGCGACTCGCTGCTCCCTCTGCTGCGCGCGGTGCACCTGCTGCAAATGGCCAAAATTGTCGCTGCATCACTCGCTGCTTCGCAACCACTCACTGGATGAGACGCTGGATAAGTTAACTTCGTTTTTTGTTGCGGACAACGTTTCTGCAAAGACCAGTAAGTGCCTCATCGCAGCCTTGTCACCAAGGCCTGCTCCCGCGGCTCCACCGAGCTGTCCGGCATGGCGTCCTTCACGGGCTCGCGGTCGCTCTACGTGGGCCCCGACGGCGAGAACGACCTGAAGCCCATGGGCTTGGTGGAGCTCATCGAGAAGGAGGTCGGCCTCGATCTGTACGGAGTGAAGCCCAAGGAGGCCATCAAGCTCATCAACGCCAAGATCGGCCGCGAGGGCGGCGCGGGCAACCCGAAGGAGGAGCTGCAGGCCTGCCGCGCCGCGATCCGCGCGCTGCCGTCGTCGTTTTGGTGCGACGAGGTCGTCGGCGTCGGCCGCAACGCGCCCGCGAACCTCGTGCGGCGCCTCGCGGCCAAGCCCGCGACGTGCGGCGGCTTCACGGCGGCCGTCGCCGCGCCGCGGCTCAACGCCAAGGCCGTCGACACCAAGACCGTCAGCGTCACGGGCGCCTGCACAATCGACGGCATCACGATCCTGACGCCGCCGGGCTCCTACAACAAGCTCGACTTCGAGATCGAGAACATCTCGCGCCTCTTCGGCTCGCAGCGCGACGCGGAGAAGCTCGGCGACGCGTCCTTCAAGGTGGCGTCGCGCGAACAGGTGACGCCCGGCACGACCGTCATGGTCTGCAAGGCGCTCCAGTGCTCCGCGCGCTTCGCGGCGCTGCAAACGCCCAAGTTTCTGCTCCTGGGCATCTACTCCCAGGCGTCGCCGGAGGCCGACATCCTAGCCTTGCTCGAGGAGGTGCGCGTGGAGAGCACGACGACGCCGCCGCCGGAGCCCGAGCCCGAGCCGGAGCCCGAAGCGGAGGCCGAGGCCGCAACCGTCGCCGACTACTAGACCCGCACTCGCTCGTCCGATTCGATAACATCGCTCGATCGTGGTTTTAGGTTATGGGTTATTCAAGGCGGCCTCGGCGAAGAACATCTCCTCCAAAACGAGCCCGCGGCGCTCCGCGGCGCGCTTGGCCTCGCGCGCGGCGCCTAATTCCGCCTCCAGCCGCGCGATGGTGTCGGCATTCTGGACCACCTTCTCTGCGAAGGCGGCGCGCACGGAGAGCTGCTGATCCCGCTCGGCATCGACGCGCGCCTCGAGCGCCGCGACGCGCGCCTCCGTCGCCGCGGCCTCCTGGAGCTCCGCGCGCGTCTGTGCGAGCAACGCGCGCACATGCGCGATGTCGTCGTCTTTGTGTGCGAGCTCCGTCTCGAGGCGCTGGACCTTGTCTTCCCCGCTCTCGCGGACATGTGCTGCTTCCGCGCATGCGGCGGCGGCACTCGCGATCTTCATGGCCGATTCGTAGAAGACCAAGGTCGCGCGTCCGCTCGGGCAGCGCGCATCCAAGCTTGCCAGTCTCTTGAGCTGCCGCTTGTCACGGTTCTTCTGCGCCCGGAGCGCTGCGAGCCGACCGCACACTTCGCGGTGGCCGGTTTTCCAGGCCTCTCGTTGACAGTCTTGGTCGCAGTACAGCACGCTTCGGCAGCCCGCGCATTTCTTCAGGGACTCGACCGCGCCTTCTGTTCCACACGTGGCGCAGCTGGGGCGCCGCTCGAGAAGTACACCATCCTTCATTCCGAGAACTCCAAGTGAACTCGATTATAAACTGTTAGCTGCACACTACATTGCAGACTGTAATGAGTCACAGTGCACTCACACGACCGGACATTAATTCGTGCTGGTCCGACGCAAAGCCGGTCCCCCGGGAGCGCGGGGTGGCCGCCATGGCCTCGGCCGCCTATAGCTTCGACAAGCTGTCCGTGCGGAAGCTCAAGTCCATCGCCGGCACCCATGGCGTGCGTCCCCGGCGCCCCCTCGAAAAGAGGCTGCCCGCCTTTCCGGAAGGCTGCCCCCGCCGACCGCCCCCCACCCGTAGGTGAACATTCGCGGGTGCTTCGAGAAGGAGGACATCATCCAGGCGCTGCGCGGCGCGGGGCTCAAGGAGCACACGACGGCGCCGCCCATCGCGTCGCCGGAGAAGCACCTCCCCGTCTTCGGGACGAGCGGCTCGTCGTCGAGCTACGCGTCCGCGCCGGCGCCGAGCCGCGAGCGGCAGTCGCAGGCCGACGGCCTCGCGGAGCTGAGCATCTCCCAGCTGAAGCGCGTCGCCCGGGAGCGCAAGGTCGACATCAGCCGCTGCTTCGAGAAGGCCGACCTCGTCCGCGCGCTCCGGCCGCCGTCGCCGCCGCCGTCGAACGCGTCGACGCTACCCTGCATCCGCGTGCTGCCCCGCGTGCGGCCCGCGCCGCCCGCGGGCCTGCCGCCGGGCCGGCGGCCCAGCGAGACGTCGCGCGAGACGTCGCCGCCCATCGCGGTCTCGCGGCGGTCCTTCGACGAGGACTGGGACGCGCGCTACCGGCGGCGGTCCGAGGAGCTCAGCGACGCCCGCGAGCGGCGCGAGAGCGACCGCAAGCTCAACGACGCGGTCCAGAACGCGCGGCGGAAGACGGCGCTGCCGCCGCGGAAGAGCGTCACCTTCTCCCAGGAGACGCGGCGGGCGCCGCCGGCGGCCTACTTCCAGATGCCGGCCCAGTCCTACGAGCAGGCCTCCCCGCTCGAGGCGACGGGGTAACGGCCCGTGTCTTGTCTCGCGCGCGCGCGACTCGCGATCGAGGCCTCGGAGTCACGGTCGACCCGCCGATCCGCCGGCAACGGCGCGCTTTGTCTCATCAAGGTCGATTGCGCGCGCGATGGCAGCCACAGTTTCTCACTAGCCGCGAGCGACGGCCACGCGACCGCCGCGCGATGTCGCGCGACTCGCGGCCGCTGCTGCGCGCGTCCAGCATGCCCCCCTTGCCGGCGGCCGCCGCCGACGACGCCAAGTGGGTCGAGATGGACTACGTGCGCTTCTTCGATCGCTACGTCGACTGCCTGCCGGCGGAGGAGGCGAAGCTGCGGCAGGCGCTCAACGACTTTGACAGTCTGGGCGTGCGGCCCGTGCCGTACCGGCGGCTGGCGGAGTTGCTGGTCGTGGCGCTCTGGCGCGTCGTCGGCCGCGGCGGCGGCGGCGGCGGGCCCGCGGGCGGCAAGGCCCGGCGATCCGCGTCCCCGGGCGCGCGCCGGTCGGCGCGGGCGTCGTCCCGCACGAGCGGCGCCCTGCGGCGGAGCGCGCCGGCGGCCTTCGTCGTCGACGTCGCGGCCGCGGAGGCCGAGGGCCTCGACGAGGGCCTCATGAAGCCCTACGGTCCCAACGCGTCGCGGCTGCGCCTCGGCGAGACGCGCGTCGGCTGCCACCGGTCCGACGTCGCCGTCTGGGACGCCTGCCTCGAGCGCAAGCGCGCGGCGGCGCGCGCGGCCCAGGTGGCCGTCGCGGCGGCGATCCGGCGCCGGCCGCACCCTGTGTGGAAATCAAACAGTGAGCTGGGTTATCCCAACCAAACTTCAGAACTCTCTATCTCGGCCAAATCGACGTCGATTCGGCTGATTTTTGGACGGATCGATTGCTCTCGTCGAGTTCTCGAAGCACGACAGAAGATCTCGCGTCGAAACGGTCGCATACGCTCACATTGAAGTCGTGTTGCATATTTGATTTCGACACAGGCCGCACCGGCGGAAGCTCGCGGCCGCGCGGACGATCGCGCGCGCGAGCCAGGCCTGCTTCCAGCGCGTCCACGCCATCCGCGTCGCCGAGCAGTTCCGGGAGGCCGGCCTCCTGCTGACGCGCGCGTCGACGGTCAAGGTCCAGTGGCAGCGCGTCGTCCGCAAGAAGCGCGTCGCCGCGTGGTGCCAGCGCCGCTTCCGGGGCGCGCGGGCCCGCAAGCGCGCCAAGAAGCTCAAGCGGCGCCTCGAGAAGCTGCGCGTGGCGTCGCGCGCCTTCCTCGCGCGCCGCGGCGCCGTCGTCGCCCTGGGCAGGGTCCGGGAGAAGCGCGCGGCCGCGCGCGAGGACGCCGTGAAGGCGTACGAGCGCCTCAAGGACGAGCTCGCGGCGCGCGACGGCCAGCGCATCTTCCGCGGCTGGCACGAGCGGTGCTTCGGCGTCATGGCGCTGCGCGTCGCGGGCACGCTCCAGCAGCGGCGGCGGCTCTGGGCCGCGGGGCGGCTGATCGTCGGCGCGCAGCGGAAGTGGCTCGGCATCCTCGGGCGGCGCGACTTCCTCGCCGCGCGCGGCGGCGCGCTCGCCGTCTGCACCTGGTGGCGCGGCGCGCGGTCGCGGCGCTACTTCCGCAAGGCCCTGCGGTCCGCGCACCTCCTGCAGCGCGTCGCGCGCGCGGGCCGCTTCCGCAACGCGTCCGCGGCGCTGGCGACGCTCGACGAGCTGAGCCGCGTCCAGTGGCGCACGCGCACGTTCCGCGGGCGGGAGGCCGTGCAGCTCGAGCGGCTCCAGGCGTCGGCGCTCCGGGAGGCGCCGGGGGCGGCCGCGCGGCGGCTCCGGGGCGGCTTCGTCGTCGACGTCGACGTCGCCCAGGACGTGAGCGAGGACTACGCGGACGGCTGGACCTACGAGTGGGGGGAGACGCTGCGCGAGCGGGGGGTCGTCTCCGTGGCCCTCGGCGACGAGGAGACCTACGTCGTCGACGGCGACGGCGACCTCGTCAAATGGGGCGGCGGCGCGCCGCGGCTCGACATGGGCGCGCCCGGCGGCGTGCCCGTCCTCGCGGTGGCCGCGGGCGACGCCCACGCCGTCTGCCTCGACGCGAACCGGCGCGTCTTCGCCTGGGGCGACAACGGCAAGGGCGCGCTGGGCCTCGGCGACTTTGACGACCGCGCGGAGCCGACACCCGTGCCGCGCTTCGACTCCGGGCCGCGCGCGCTCGCCGTGCACTGCGGCGGCAAGTGGACCTGCGCGCTCGTGGGCGAGCCCGGCCTCGCCGCGCTGGAGACCTGGGGCGCCCAGGACGACGGCGTGCTCGGGCTCGGCCCCGCGCACCGCCCCGTCTCCGAGCCGACGCGCGTCGACGGCTTGGGCGGCGTCGGCCTCCGCGCGGTCGCCGTGGGCTGGCGCCACAGCGTCGCCCTCGCCGTCGACGGCCGCGTCTGGACCTGGGGCTCGAACCGCCGCGGCGAGCTCGGCCCCGCGACGACGGCGTGCCGCGCGGGGCGGGAAAAGGGCGCGACTTCTATCTCGGCCGGTTTCCACTCGCTTTGGCTGATTTTTGGACGAGCGATCATCTCTCGGAGCGGTCTCGGATGCTTTTCCGGAACGCGCGCGCGCGGAACACTCACGTTGAAGCGACGTCGAATCACTCTTTGTCCCGCCCAGGTCCCACAAGGCGCTCTACGCGCCGCGCAAGGTGCCGGGCCTCGACCACGTCGTCGACGTGAAATGCGGCGGCCACCACGCGCTCGCCCTCGACAAGCACGGGGCGTTGCACGCCTGGGGCGACGACGCGAGCGGCCAGCTCGGCGTCTCCGCGGAGCGGCTGGGCCCGCGGGGCGGCCTCGCGCGCGTCCGGTTCCCGCGGAGCGGCGGCCGCGTCGTCGTCGAGAAGATCGCCGCGGGCTGGCGGTCGTCGGCCTGCGTCGACCAGCACGGGCGGGCCTGGGCCTGGGGCGAGGCGCCGCGGAGCCTGCCGTGCCTCGAGGAGGCCGCGCGCTTCGACAAGGAGCGCGGCCCGGAGCTCCGCGACACGCACCGCGGCCGGACGAACGCGCCGGGCCTGGTGTGCCTCGCCTTCTCGAAGGAGGGCGCCCACGTCGAGCACGGCACGGACCCGTTGCCGCCCGCGCGCGACGTCTCCGCGTGCTTCTCGAAGACGCTGTCCATCGTCGCCGTGGACCTGCTCCGGGGCCGGTCGCGCGCGCCCCGCCGGGGCGACGACGACCACCTGGCGTCCTACGCGGACCTCGCGCGCGCGCGGTCCGCGCGCCTCGCGGAGATGGAGCGGCCGCCCGCCGCGGCGACGCCATCGGTCGACCGCGGGTCGCCGCGGGGCGCGTCGCCCGAGTCGGAGCGGAGCGCGCGCGCGCGGTCGCGCAAGTCGACGCACCACACGCACTTCCACCACGTCGCCCTCGACCACGCGACGCGCGCCGTCGCCGCGGGCGCCGAGGCCCAGACCCAGGAGCGGCTCCGCAGCGTCGCGAAGCGCTACCCGGCCGCCGCGCCCCTCGGCGCGCTGCCGTCCGCGTCCGAGACCGTGCGGCTCCTGCGCTACGGGCTTTAAGTTGACTTGAAGCGGACCGTGCGGCTCCCGCGCTACGGGCTTTAAGTTCACTTGAAGCGGCGTTGAGCATATCCCGCCGGCCCGGGCGGGATTTGTGAGCATGGTTTCGCATATCCCGCCGGTGGGATATGCTATCTGCGGACCCGCGTCTCGCCGAGACTCTCGGCGTTCGGGGGGAACAATTTCATCGTCGAATGTTTTAGGGGGACTTGTGCGAGGGGATGCGATTCTCTTGGTATGGCGGCGGCTCGTCGGTCCCGAGGCGGCGGCGGCTCGTCGGTGTCACGCCTAGAGGCGCGGCGCGGAGAGCGCGGCGCCCGCGTAGAAGAAGCGCATGGCGATGTTCTTGGTGACGCCGACCTTGTAGGAGTGGACGGCGCAGACGATGTCGTCGACGTGGTCGAGGTGGCCCAGCGCGAAGGCGCACTTGGCGCCCTCGAGGACCATGGCGGCCTCGTCGTCGCCGGACGCGTCGTAGCCGTAGTTCGTGAGCGCGGGCGTGTGGAGCGCCTGGCAGCCCGGGATGAGGGCCTGGCTCTGGCGGGCGACGTGGGCGTGGGCCGTGACGACGACGAGCGGGATGGCGCACTTGTACTTGGCGAAGAGCTGCGCCGTCGCGCCGGTCTGCGCGATGACGACGACGGCCTTGGCGCCCGCGTCGCGCGCGGCCTGCGTCGCCGCGGCGACCGTCGACTCGACGACGGTGGCGCCGGAGGCGCCGCGCTTGAGGTGGGCGTGGGCCCGCAGGTAGGCCGCGGCGACGTCGACCTGCTTCTCGGCCTCGACGCACGTCCGCGCCATGATCGCGACGGCCTCGCGCGGGAACTTGCCGCCGGCGGTCTCGCCGGAGAGCATGACGGCGTCGGCGCCGTCGAGGACGGCGTTGGCGACGTCGGAGCACTCCGCGCGCGTCGGCCGCGGGTTGCCGCACATCGACTCCAGCATCTGCGTCGCGACGATGACGGGCTTGCCGGCCGCGCCGCAACTGTCGATCATCATCTTCTGCTCGACGAAGACGCGCTCCGGCGGGATCTCCATGCCCAGGTCGCCGCGGGCGACCATGACGGCGTCCGTCGCGGCGACGATGCCCTCGAAATTGGCGAGGCCCTCCTGGTTCTCGATCTTCGAGATGATCTTGATCGCCTTGCCGCCCGCGCCGTCGAGGACCGCGCGGACCGTCTGCACGTCCGCCGCGGACTGCACGAAGGACACGGCGACGAAGTCGACGCCCTGGGGGCAGGCGAACTCCACCAGGTCCTTCGTGTCCTTGTCCTGGAGCACGGGCAGCTCGACGACGACGCCGGGGAGGTTCATGTTCTTGCGCTCGCCGATCGCGCAGTCGTTCATGACGACGCACGCGACCTCCGTCGCCGACAGGACCTGCTTCACCTCGAGGACGAGGGACCCGTCGGCGATGAGGATCTGGTTGCCCGGGGCCACGGACTGGGGGAGCTTGCCGTACGTGCACCTGGGCAGGAAGAGAGTGTGGAGGGGACGAGCGATCATCTCTCGGAGCGCTCTCGACGCGTGGATGCTTTTTCCGGCACGCGCGCGCGCGGAACACTCATGTTGAAGCAAAATTGAAGCACTCGTTTCCTGCCCTGGACGCGCACGCGAGCTTCGTGCCGTCGGACTTGTAGTCGTAGTCCGTCGTGAGCGTGAGGGGCGCCCCGGCCTTGAGCTCGATCTTGCCGTCGGCGTAGGGCGGCGCGAAGAAGCCCGTGCGGATCTCGGGGCCCTTCGTGTCGAGCATGATCGCGCAGTGCACGCCGGGCCGGAGCGCGAGCGCCTCCTTGAGGCGGCCGATCGTCCGCGCGTGCGTCGGGTGGTCGCCGTGGCTGAAGTTGAGGCGCGCGACGTTCATGCCCTCGTCGAGGAGCACGCCGAGCATCTCCACGGACCTATAGTTCTCCGGGTGAAACGGATGGAAAACGCGTGGCGCGTGACGTACCAGCAGGCCGGGCCGAGCGTGCAGATGATGCGCGTCTTCTTCGTCTGGGCGGCGGACGACATGCCCTTGAAGCCCGCCGCCGCCGGCACGCCCTTCATGATGTCCGCCAACGGCATGTCCATCGTCGCGGGAGAGACCGACATTTTGCAATCGTTGTTGTCGCCGGGAGATGTGTCGTGACTCGCTTGCGTCGCACACTTGCGGGCTAGCGAGTTCAAGGAGCTGTTCGAGCCGTCGATCGAGAGGCTGCCCGAAGTGGTCTACCGCGCCCCGCCGCCGCAGCCCGCCGACGATGGCCGCCCACGACGAGGTCGCCATCGAGAACGACCTGCACCAGCGCATGAGCGCCGACCGCCTCACGCCGACGGAGTCGTACCTCATGCGCAAGGCCGAGGAGCACGCACCCCCAGCGCGGCAGCATCCGAGAGGAAGCGCAGCGGCATCATCGTAGGCACAGCGCCCTGCTCGAGGAGAAGCTCGCGGCGGCGGAGGCCGAGAACGAGAAGCTCTGGATGGAGCTGGAGAAGTTCCTGCGCGTCAAGGAGAAGGAGGACGACGCGCCGGAGCCCGCGCCCGCCGCGCCCGCCGCCGCGGAGCCCGCGGCCGCGGCGCCGGCCCCGCCCGCGGTCGATCCCGTGACGGAGAAGGAGCGCCAGCGCCTCGAGGAGGAGGTGCGTACAACGAAGAAGCGGGGGCGGCGCTACGACCTTCCGCGAGCCTCCGGATCCTTCGCAGGCCGCGGAGCGCGAGATGCTCAGCTTCCTCAGCACGCAGACGCAGGCGGCCAAGGACCAGCGCGAGCGCGAGGTCTTTCCCCGGCGTCTCGGCGCGCCGCGCGGCGACGAGAACGACCCGCGCAGGTCTACGCCGCGCACCGGCGCATGCGATCCGCCGACGCTTGAGCTACGCTAGTAAAATCTCCGCGACGATCGGGGCGTGGTCCGACGCGTCGCGCCACGCGTCCGCCTCGACGACGCCCGTCCACGCGACGGGCGCGTCGACGAAGAGGTGGTCGAAGCGGCTCCCGCCGGGGCCGTGCCTCGCGAGGAGCGCGTCGCGGCAGAACGGGCCGCCCGGCCAGCCCCGCCAGGACGCGTCGCCGACGCCGAAGTCGTAGACCGCGGCGGCGGCGTCTCTCACGTCGGAGAATCGCGGCGCGCCCGCCGCCGCCAGCGCGCCGTAGACGTCCGCGTCCGCGAACGTGTTGAAGTCGCCGCCGACGATCGCGACGTCGGCCTCCGCCTTGGCCGCGAGGTCCATGACGAGGCGGGCGGATGCGCGGCGCGCAACGACGCCCGCGTGGTCGAAGTGCGCGGAGACGCAGAAGAGCTCGCGGCCGCGCGCGCGGAACCGCGCCGATACGGCCGTCCGCGCGTAGGGCGACGCGTCCCAGGGCGGGGCCTCGCCCGGCGCCGGCGCGCGCGTCGTCTCCGAGAGCCACAGGGTCTCGAGGTCGCCGACGAGGGCGACGCGGTCGGGTCGCCACGCGAAGCCGTTGCCGTCGTGCGCCTGGCCGCGGCCGGCGCCGGCGCGCGGGTCGCAGGCCGTCGTCGCGACGCGGTACGCGCCGCCGAGCGCCGCCTCGAGCTCGCGCGCGCAGGGCGGGCTCGGTTCCTGGAGCAGGACGATGTCGCAGTCGAGGTCCGCGATGGCGCGGGCGGCGAGCGGGATGCGATGCGCCCACTCGTGGCCCGTGCCGTCGTCGGCGTCGTG